ATAAAATAGCAAATAAAAATGTAAATTCGATTTAAAGAAGCTATATTACGAGAAATAAATTAAATAAATAGTTATTACAATACAGTGTCATCTTTGTGAAATGTGATCAAACATATTTATTTTATTAATAAATTATATTAACTTTAATTATATGAACACAATAGGGATGCAATAGAAGCAAAACTTTTTGCCGTCGAAGAAGAAAAGAATAAACTACTTCTTTCAAACACCATGCAGAACCCCTTATACAATTCGCCAATTACCCGTGTCGATCTGGATGAATTTAAGAAGGATAAACCTTGTGCAAAATGTAGAACATCCAGATCATCATTTAGGTAACAATTTTGAATGTAACTTTAACTTTAATGTGAGGCCGCTGTAGCGTAAATGTTTCTAGAAAAGTAAAAAAATTTAAATAAAAAAAAGAAAGAAAAAACAAAAAAAATAATAAAAATAGAAAATAAAAAAATAAAAAATAAGAAAAAAAAATAATAAAAAATAAAAAAAAACAACATATAAATAAAAAAAATATAGAAAAAATAAAAAAATATAAAAGAAATAAATAAAAAAAGAAAAAAAAACGTATGGCCTATTTTGTAAAATTATGAGTTTTTAATTAAAGATTTACTTAATCATTTTAAAAAACTGGACTGAAAATTATAACTTTGCACTAAATAGAATTTGTAGAATATCAAAAAATCTCTGAGTTGATATTTTAATTTGAAATAACTAAATTAGAAATAGAAATATAAATAAATTATGCAAATGCAAAGTTGCACAATTGATCATCATTATTTATAAAATAAATAGTTAAAGAATTCAGATGTCAGCAAATTACATTTACTGATATTCAAAAAAATATAAAATAGTACATCTAATATTAAGTAATATTTTATTAACTAATATCGTTCTGTAACATGTTTTTCTCATTCCAGATCATCTAGAAGTAGCTTTGAAATAAGTGCACCATCTACTCCTATGATTCCGAAACCCGATCACGATGAATATTAATTTATGCATTAGTTTTGTATATAGTAATAATTTATATTATATAATAATTGATTTTGTACTTTTTTGAAAAGAACCAGAGGTAATAATACAACAATATGTTTTGTTTGCCAAAATATATTATTCACATTTATAAATTTATTCCCAAAAAACTAAATAACAATAATATTGTTATAATGAACTTTATTCAAAAAGTAACAGACTTTGATACATTTTTTTTCCTATGTACCCATACCCAAGAACTCCACCTGTCTGGTTCGGTATTTATCACGAATGAAAGAATTTCTTTGGCTTAATTTAAACAATTAGTCAATTATTGTCAAAAGTAAGTATTGGTGTTGTGTCATGAGTAAAAAAAAAAATATATATGAAAAGATATATGTATAGGGAAAAGCGGCGCTTAAAGATCCACGGGTAATAGGTTCACTACCGCTATCTCCAAAACAAGTAAAGTTGAGAATTTTTAACAACAATATTTGAAAGGAGAAGAAACATGTAGATGTATAACCAGCCATCACCCTGATTCCTATGTCGCTATCAGGAAATAAACGGCAATGTTGAAAATCCATAACAAAAGTATTTTTTTTCATTGTTAGTTTTTTTGGTTGTAGCCCCGTTGCTTAGTTTAAGTTTAGTAAATAAAAAAGTAAATTGAGTTAACAAACGCAATTTTACAAGAGTTAAGTTAAATAACTAGTTATTCCAACTACGCTATGATTATTTCCGAAGAAATACCAGATTAAAGTTCCATATGTTCAGGGTTATCCACAAAATATATCCATTAAATATATATTTCATGGGTATATTTCTAGGTTAAATAATGTAGCTTGTTTGATATGTGTTATTTGTTGTGATATAATTGCTCAAAGTGAAATTGGACCTTTGTGCTCCGCCCTACCCTGTATATATAATATATAAGGAACGAGAAAAAATGACCAGGGAGAAGGAGGTTTTATCAAGATATCACGTGCATTTATTTTTTATCTGTATTAAAAAAATCCATTTTTTTTCAAAACCAATATAATTTTTTTCTAGAAAATTAACGATTTTTTGTAGATGTTAATGTTTAGTAGGGTAGGAGAGGTTAATTTAAATAATACCACGTATTATGAAGAGAGAAGGGAGTTTAAAAGTGCTTAAAAATAAAAAAGATCACGTGATTAATGTAATGCCCTTAATCTGTTGAGTTTATTCCGATTTTGCAAAGACCTAAGTAGTGTGTACTGAGAGAGGGAGTATTACGGAATGAGCAAAAGTCGAAAATTCTTCTGGTGCTAGTGAACGTGAAGCTTAATGGACGACCATTAATCACGAAAACCTTTAAGGTGGGGGGGGGGGGTATTAGACAAAAAATAACAAAATATCATGTGGGGGTAAGGAGGATCTAGAGAGATATCACGTGCATTTATTAACTTCCCGTAGGGTAAGTTATAGTAATCGCAAAAAAATCGAAAATGAAAACTTTTATATATCTTTACGTTTCAAAGGTTTCTGAACATTTTGGCATACCTTAGAAAAAATCGGAGATCTAATGAAAAAAGTAAAAAAAAGGGCGGTCAAAAATGATCATTAGACATATGCACATCAAATTATCAGATATTTTATGGAGATTTTAACAATAAGTATAAATTTTGTTTGCATTCCTATGGGTTCCGTACCAATGTTTATCCGTTAGACGGCGACGCGGCGCTTACGCCCTTTGACATTTCGTCTCTATGCAGTTAAAGCAGTACGATTGATTTGAAAAAAAATTCAGAATTTCCAAAATATGTCAAAATAAAAAAATATTATAGTTTTTCAAAAATTTAATGTTTTTGAAGTAATTTTTTTTCAAAAATGTGAATCGTTTTTAAAAAAATAATAATTTTTGGTACGGAAAGTTCCAGCAATTTGCCTTAAGGCATGATGCCATGCATCCCACTAGTTTTTTACCACAATTTAAAAAAAAAACAAAATTATTAAAAAAAAAAAATGCTATTATTTTTTCGAGATACTAAAAATACACGTGATGTTTGGTGAAAGAGGTGGTCGAAAAATCCTCAGATATCGTTCACGTGATTATTGGACGTCCCCTTAGCATCACATTCAGGAGAATTTATCAAAAGCTAGTGTTTGTCGAAACCAGAATATATCGTTAGCCCGACTCTTGTCCAGGTGCTCTAGCTGGTAATTGTACCGAGTCGATAAAGCAGCCGCTGCCGTGAATGAAGAGTTCCTGTCGGAAACTACGATGGCGCTGCTCTCTGGGCGCTAGAAGAGTTAGAAGTCATTCACTCGACGCCGATGGTGCGGTGCCGGTGCAACGATTCAACTACTTTGCTTTGCTTTTAGTAGAAGAGCCAGTGAACTATTTGATTAACCTGTTTTCACAAAGCCAGAAATTTTTTTAATGATATTTTATTATCGGCCCATTAAGAAAGTACCATTCTGGCAGTCATTCCGCGGTTGCGTCATCATCCCTTCAATTTGTGAAAATGTGAAAAAAAAATTTTTATAACTTGCTCGCACAAGGCTCAAATTTTGAGGGTGTCTTCTTTTAGCTGTTCAGAAAGCATATGTAAAAAGCCAGCCCATTCTGACGGTTGCAAGGGTCTGCCAGACGAGTACATAATAGTTACGACGCGCAAGGGTGTGGGCGCATTGCCATACATAATTGACTAATACCCTTGTATTTGAATAATTTGTACGCCATTTTGAAGGTCATTTTGAAAACATCCGTTATACCAAACTTCAACTTTGTATCTCATCTTATGGTCGAAATATCATTGAAAATATACCAAAGTGGCCCCTTTTTCAAACTCAATTTTTGGCGTAACCATAAAAGATATCGAAAAAAAATTACGTGATTCTACTCATATTGACTTAAACCACATAATGTATAGTAATATATGCTAAATAATCCTTTATTATTAGCTAAAAAGGATAAAATAATTTTTCAATTAATGTTTTCGGATAGTGCGTTTTGTTTAATTACTGTATTATTAGCGTTATTTAAAAGCTTATTGTTTTCTCTTTTAGTACTGCAAATATGGTTTAAATCAAATTTGTGGAACACATTGAAAAACTGAAGAAACCAGAAACAGTACACCCGCGCGTAACGCATCGCACATCCGACCGAACGAATTCTATGCGGGCTACGATTAGCGTTACGCGCGGTGTACTGGTTCTGGTTTCTTCAATTTTCAATGTGTTCCACAAATTTGATTTAAATCATATTTGCAGTACTAAAAAGAAAACAATAAGCTTTTAAATAACGCTAATAATACAGTAATTAAACAAAACGCACTATCCGAAAACATTAATTGAAAAATTATTTTATCCTTTTTAGCTAATAATAAAGGATATTTAGCATATATTACTATACATTATGTGGTTTAAGTCAATATGAGTAGAATCATTTTTTTTTCGATATCTTTTATGGTTACGCCAAAAATTGAGTTTGAAAAAGGGGCCACTTTGGTATATTTTCAATGATATCTCGACCATAAGATGAGATACAAAGTTGAAGTTTGGTATAACGGATGTTTTCAAAATGACCTTCAAAATGGCGTATAAATTATTCAAATACAAGGGTATAATATTCAAATATTAGTCAATTATGTATGGAAATGCGCCCACACCCTTGCGCGTCGTGACTATTATATACTCGTCTGGCAGACCCTTGCAACCGTCAGAATGGGCTGGCTTTTTACATATGCTTTCTGAACAGTTAAAAGAAGACACCCTCAAAATTTGAGCCTTGTGCGAGCAAGTTATAAAAAATTTTTTTTTTACATTTTCACAAATTGAAGGGATGATGACGCAACCGCGGAATGGCTGCCAGAATGGTACTTTCTTAATGGGCCGATAATAAAATATCATTAAAAAATTTCTGGCTTTGTGAAAACAGGTTAGTCAAATAGTTCACTGGCCCTTAGACTATTTGCTTTGCTAGCAGAATAGAACTCTTAACTCGGAAGACGTCTAGTTCGGTTGAGTCGGTTCGCCAGTTGTGGATTAGTGACCGCGGCGCGCGTTAGGCCGTTCGTTCTCTCGGCGATAATGCTGGAACGGTCAGAGCCGGTGAATTCGCATTCGGCATGTGTGTGTAGAAATATATAATATATAACAACATATACGATAGTGCCTGTGAGAACCACGACCGTGACTGAAACTGGAAACAAACGGTATTTAAGATCTTTGTGGTTATTATATTTTCGACCAAGTGCTAATTAATTGTTGACAATATATATGATGATGAGCTTTTCTCTCTGCTGGTTTAGTGCATCTTCACAATAATATGCCCTAAATAGTTTAATTTAATTAATATCACATTTTATACACGTTTTTATACTGAATTTTAACTTGCATAATATTATATCTAATTTATCATATATTGTTACTTTTATTTATTAAATTTTGAAATATAACGGTATCAATACTAGATATACTGAGATGCTATTATCGTTAATTAATTTGTTTCTATTTATAAAGGTAGAATAAAAACAATGATACTAAATATTATTACATTACATTACAATAATAAATATTAATTAAATATCCTTAAATTATTTTAAATTTATTTAAAAACCAAAAATAGTTTTGCATACGTTCATTTTATAGTGATTTTATGTAAATATAAATAATTATAAATGAAATGAATAAATATAAATGGAAAAATTAGAAATATTTTATGCACACAATTCAAATGCTATTGCAAAAAAGGGTTGATAATTTTTACTTTCTAAAAAGCTAAATTTATTAATCTATTACCTTTTTTTGCAATAGCATTTGAATTGTGTGCATAAAATATTTCTAATTTTTTCAATTGAGTTATTATATAAACTTGCAAAATTCATTTACAAATTTACTATTACTGTAAGCGTATTTTGGATACACATATACGACGAGCAAATTATTGAAATGCATTAAGAATTATGATGCTTATTATATGCATGAATTAAAATGTTATGGTTTGGATGTCTATAATGTATAAATATAGTTAATATCTTATTATTGCTTCAAGTAATTTTCAAACATAGACGTGCACACACACAAATACATATATATATATATATATATATATATATATATATATATATATATATATATATATATATATATAACCTCGCTCTGGACAACCTGACATCGTGCAGCAGCGATATATATATATATATATATATATATATATATATATATATAACCCCTCTCTGGACAACCTGACATCGTGCGGTAGCGATGTCCATTTTCACTTGAAAATATAAATTAAAACAAACATTTCCAATTGAAAATAGCCCGGGCGGTGCAGTATGAAATGGCAATGCAAAATCCCTCACACTATTCTTCCCTGAATCGAGTTCGAGTTTAACTCGGCTCAAGGGCTTGCCCTAGAGTAGTACTGACCATTATATAAATTATTTTCATATGTATAAGAATATATTGAAAAATTTATAAAAATTTATGTATGTATGTATTTATTTGTCAGTTGGTTTATATGTTTTTTAGCTTTTTGTATATTTACACATAATATGGACACATTAGATGTAGATTTAATTTATATGTAAGAAATATATTTATATATATATATATATATATATATATATATATATATATATATATTTAACAATTCATGACCATGTGCATTCTTTGTATATATTTTCAAATTATGTATATATGTTTATGTATATATATATATATATATATATATATATATATTATAATCAACGTATTCTCATTATATTCAACTTATTTCGATTTTCCGTTCCCTGTAGAAAATGAAAATGATCTTTGTGAGAAATATCACAACGTGGTATTTAAACTATGTTACGTAAACTAACTACATAATTTTTATTGTATTGCATATCGCAATATTTCGATTAGTGCGTTACCGATAATTATGACAGTGGTTTTCAATCTCTGTTGAAAAATCTTAATTTTTTTTAAATTATTTGTGTTTAAAATTACACCATTGCCTTGAGGAATGTGGAGATTTTTAGGAATTGCAATATTTTCATATAAGTTGAGTGAAGTAATTTAATTGCTATGTTCGAAGTATTCACAATGAAATGCATGACAGTGTATTTCGCTGACAATTGTTAATACGTTTTATGAATGCATGTACTGTTTTTGTCGGATGTTGCCATAGCTTCCTTCCTGCAAAGGTGCGCGTATCCATGTTTGAAAATCGCTGGGTTACTGTACAGTTACATGTGAGCATTGGACTATGAACACAGAGTAATGTAAGTCTTCAAGTCTTAGACCTTTATTGCAACTAAAGTAGCAATGAAAAGTTTAATTTTTAAATTATCTGATTATATTTTTTTTTAACTTTATTCTGCTTTTATTCAAAACATTGAGCAGAGACTGCTAACAATATATATGAGAAAATAAAATTCATTAGAAATTAGTAGATACACCCAGTTTCTGAAGAATCTGGTGATACTTGGTCTAATTATCTAATTAGTCAAATTTATCAGAATTGAACGTATACAAACTATTTATGTTTGTAACTATTGATCCCAGTTTCAATCATCAGATTCAAATTTTACATTGCACTGCTGCATCGTCAACAAAGGGTCAAATTGTAACTTTTTTCAAAGTCATGGTACCATGGTACCAAAAACTATGAAATATTACTTTTGTTTTTTATCCGTATTCATTGTGTTATTATCAGTAATTGCCGAAAATATTGACGCCGGACCATTTTTCATCCAATATTATTTTTAATTTCCATCAATAATGTTAAATCTAACTACAGTTATTTGATGTAATATAGAATAGCGTTGTACGTTTCGCCATCGTGCTGCGCGCGAGATTTGCAAAGGGTATTGCACCTAAAGTTAGGTCTTACTATAAATATACTATTTTTGTTGCAAAATTCATTGTGTACAATTTGCATTATCAATGTAAAAATTTAAAAAAAATATTTTGTTACAATGTAATTATAGTAATAATTAACAAAAAAAACTGTTACCCCAAATGGGGTAAAAATGGACATTTTGGGCGTAAACAGTATGTATTTTCAATTGCTATTTACTGTATTTGCTACGCAGTTGTTCGTATGGGGGAAAATCTATCTTTGGGGGTAATATCAACTTTGACAAAAATATTTTGGTGTAATGATTCAAAACATTATTTTGACCCCAGGTATATAGTATTGATCACTTTCATGGAGATCATAGTATTTTAAGTTTCACAATCGGTTTTTCTTTAAAATTGAACACACGCAATTTTAGTTTAGTGTTGTCATCAAGTTCAAACTTCTATATTATCTTGTTTTTATTACTAACTCTTCTTCATATTTTTAATTTTATTACTATAGTTTTTTGATTCGAGAAATCGTTTCAGTTGTTATTTCTCTTTGATTTTGTATGACTAGAACCAATTTTTTATTCTACTTATTTTTATCTATTATATTGCATTAAATTAAAAATATATCATCTATATTAAAACATATATAATGTAAAATATAGCATTTAAATAGGGCAATTTTCAAAAATAGGTAGTTGCCTTTTAAAAAGTCTCATATTTAAGGAGTAGTATCTGCATAACTGCTCAAAGGAACCTCAAGCTTTGATTGCTGTTCAAAAACAATATTATGTACATATAATAATAATAATAGGTATTGCTGGTAACTGCTCTAGAGCAGAATCGGTGAGCTGAGTTAAAATTTAACTCCAACTCGGTTCAGGAAAGAATAGTGTGAAAGATTTTCCATTGCCATTTCACACCGCCCGACGTGGGCTATTTTTATTTGGAAACATATTTTTGATCTATATTTTTTAATGAAAATAGACACCACTGCTGCACGATATCAGGTTGCCAGAGCGGGGGCTTGAACTCGCGGCTCCGTCCACGCGGGGTTATGGAAAACCCTAATTATATATATGTATATATAAAAAAAAATGTTTTTAAATTTTTATAATTAATTAAAAAGAATGAAGTATGAATTATATGATGAAGTATGATTTATACTTCATCCATTGGGGCATGATGATCAAATTCATTATTTTCGTTTATTATTTCATTGAAGTAGATATTTCATTTCGTTCAATAATCAGTTTGTTACGAATAATCGTCCTATTGCATCGAGAGAATAATACTTTTTGTCTCACATAACAAACTCAAAAAAGACATAATTTAAAAAAAATTTAAATTCCGAAATTTGTTTCTTCGTCTGAAAAAAAATGTATAAAATCATTTTTTTGATAAATTTTTTTTAGTGAAAAAATGTTACTATATAATCATATATGTATTTAATTCTGTTTTCTCAGTAACCTTTTCTTAAAACTTTTTAAAATTTTCTAATTTTTCACCATTTTTTATATTTTGTTATATAATCCACTCATTTATTATATATGATTTTGTTCATCTTCTGCTTTTCTTAAACATATTATTTGCCTAAATCTTATCAAGATCATGTTGACAGATGTCTTGAAGATGGAACGTACCTAGTTCCGAAACGTCGACAGTAAATAAAGAAATGGTTTATTAAAAAACTTTTTTGTTTTTTATTACTTTTTGAATTCTTTGTTCGAAGCTCTATAAAATATTTACAAATCCAAGACTCTACCATCTACCATAATATAGGAGATGTTTTAGACATAACATTTACATAATAACGTAATATTTATTATTATTGATCGTGGCTCGCTTATTTTCAATATATATATATATATATATATATATATATAATATATATGCGGATATATTGCATTTAAAAATATGGCATGACCAAATGTTAATTGCAAATTCAGAATTAATTTTCATATATTAAGTTTCATATTCATTGTCATTTGTACATGGAAGATTCTCTACATATAAATGTTGTACATGTGTGTGTGTGCATTTATTTGTGTATGTATGTATGTATATTCTGTGCTGCTGCTAATTGCATAATACATTATATGTACCTCTACTTGCGCACGTATAGATGAGTCTTGCGGATGTACTTAAGTATCAGTGCGATTGTGTATGGCTGGACATGGACATAGTCGTACGTGCATTATACATCCGTCCTAGGAGGATGCAGAGATGAATTTACTTAAAAAGGATTAATGTTTATGTCAGATGAATTAAGAAACTAGTGGTGCATGGCATCGTGCCTTAACGATAATTGTTGGATAAGAATTGAAAATTTTAAAAAAGTTTTAAATTTTTTCGAGAACTTTGAAAGTCATTTTTGGCCATTTTGGAATTTTTGAAAAAATTGATTTTATTTAAAAATTGGAAATATTTTTTTAAAATTTAACTTATTTCAAAATTTTCAGAGAAATATCGAAACGCGTAAGCGCCGCTTCACAGTATAACAGTGTATTGGTACCCATAGAAATGTAAACAAAATTTGTACTTATTATTAAAATCTCTATAAAACATCTGGAAATTTGATATGCATTTTTTGTTACTTTTTTCATTGGATCATTGAAAGTGAATACAAACTAAATATTTTTTTGAATCATTTAAACCGATCGCTCGTTATCTCAAAAGGTGAATTACAATTTTTGGCACTTTTTGCCCCGTATCTTTGAAACGGCTATACTTACCTTTGCCAAAAACTAATCAGCATATTTTTAATAGAAATCGAAAGCTTTTTGAATAGTTCAAATTCGGGTTGATCCATGTTTACAAAATCATAGACAAAAATTTGTATCCGCACACACACACATACATCAATTTTTTAAAGGTATGCCAATATCGTCAGAAACCTTTGAAACGTGAAGATATATAAAAAAATATTTTCGATTGTTTTGCGATTACTTTAACTTACTCTACGGGAAGTTAATTAAATTTGATAGGCCCTAAACCAAATTTCTTCTTTTTTCAGAAATGCCATTTTTTTTATTTGTCCATATATAATAATTTTAATTGTCAATGTATATTAACTATTTTTTAACACAATATCCGGGTTCGATGCCAGTACCGTTTATATGCGACTTTAGCATTTAATCCTCGCTGCAAAAATGCTTTATTTTTTAAAATTTTGAACAGTACTCAGAAATTAGAATTATCTTGTTATGAATACTTTTTCTATTAACTATTTCTTAATTACCTACTAAGTTATTCCAATTTCAAGACATATTGTAGCTACGTATATAAAATTGTTCCAAACGCGGATTTGTGGTTCAAAAAATGCTCTACCACTTGCGCTATTCATTCCTCATGCTTGAAAAATATTAAATTACAAACTTTATTTAAAATATTTAATACAAAACTTTTATTTTGAAGTAATAATTAAAAGTTCAAAAATTAAAGAAAAAATCTAAGGAACAATTTCAAATAAAGTTACAAATCTAGTGCAAAAATATTATTAACCTATACTTATATTGTTTAACAAGTCAAATCCACGCTATTGAACTAGTCGTTGACAAATTATAATCTTTAATCATAAAACCATGCAGTTGTTGTTCTCGGTTTTCAAACTCTTAACTACATATTCCGTAACTATATTTTTTTTTCAATTTTAGCCCTTCAACGTTCAGATCTTTGCAGTTCATGCATCACATCAGTAATGTCAGTAGCTGTAGAATCTATGTCAATATAATGAAACATTTACATTCAAAACTTTATTTCTAAAATTAGCATAAACTTGTTAATTGTAGAAATATTAGTGCATGACTTCTTGATATATACTGTACAGAATTTTTGCTTAAAATATTGGTGCATGACCTCACTCTGAAATTGTACAATATCTTAATACTAACGGGCTCGTTTTATATATTTATTAATCAAGTTACTCACTTAATAAGAATATTTTTGACTTTTTAATAACAATATTTGAAAGTAATGGGAAAAGGATGGAAAAAGTAGCTATCGCCTTGATTCTTACGACGCCGCTATCGGGAGATAAACGGTAATGTTTGAAAATCCACAACAAAAGAATTTTCTTTCGTGGTTTGTGTTCTTTGTTGTGAGCACTGTTATTTAGTTTACGAAACCTTAATATATATTTTAAGTATACGTTACTTAATTGTTTTATAAGATGTATTATTAATTTCAAGTTAGATTCAACCGTTTTTTGTATAACCTCTATAAAGGCTTACACCTGGGCGGGGTAAAATGGACCAAGTAAACATTTACCTTGGCTAAGGTGTAAAAATTAAAAAAAAACAAATATAAAAGTAAATTAAGTTAAATAATTTTACAGGAGATAAATTAAATATTTGATGAAATACCAGATCGAGGTTATTTACAGTGTTATCTCTGTAAAAAATGCATCCTATTTAACTTTCCGTAGGGTAAGTTATAGTAATTACAAAAAAATCGAAAATGAAATTTTTTATATATTTTTACATTTCAAAGGTTTCTGAATATTTTGGCATACCTAAGAAAAAATGGATGTGTGTGTGTGTGTGCGGATACAAATTTTTGTCTAGCCGTTCCGAAGATACGGGGCAAAAAGTGCCAAAAACGGTAACTCAGTTTTTAAGAGAATGGAGCGTCCGATTTTAGTAATTCAAAAAAACATTTTACTTGTATTGACAAGATAAAGAACTGATTAAAATTTTGGGAAGGCAGGTTCAGCGGTTATAGACTCTCAATAAAAATAAGTTTAAAAAAATGACATTTGGCAGTCAAAAATGTTTATTAGACATATGTACATCAAATTATCAGATATTTTATAGAGATTTTAATAATGTGTACATATTTTATGTCAATTTTTTTGGAATTCGTACTAAGATTTTTAGTTACGGTACGACGGGAAGTTCCAGCAATTTGCCTTAAGGCACGATGTCATGCACTCCACTAGTTTAAGGTTTAAATTGACCGGGCTATGTAGTCAAAATAAATAATTTAGAAACACTACAAAAAATTCTTTATAAACAGCTGTTGCTAACTATTCTTATTTGTATTACTTTCATGAGCGTAACATAACTGCACTGAATCTCATCGACGTCGTAAACATCGTTTTAAAGATTTTATAACAATTCCGGCTGTAGTGCGTTCAACTCGTTCTTATTAAATGCATAATATTTCAATTGTCTAAATTTCTATGTTAAAATGTTCATATGTTGGTGTTGTTTTAGGTGTGGAACTACACAATGTTGCATGTTGGAGTTTGTTGATAATCGGCGATTTGACCGGATCTTGTTATGTTATTTCTTCGCAACTACAAGCAGCTAAAGCACAAGGTGAAATGTCGCAAATTCACCACTACAACGGATATGCAAGTAAGCTGACATATTACATTATTATTCAAGGCTGATTTAAATAAAATTATACTTATGAGAAGAACTCAATTTATTGTACTTGAAATAGTATTTTTATATTGTTTCATTTCAAGTGAACTCATTATATTAACATTACAGTTTTACTTTTTGTAATATTTAAAAAAAATTTTTTTTTACTCTAAGTAGCTAATGCAATACTCTAATTCAGACTAATCTATATTACTTGATTGATTTTGCTTTTTATCTGTTGATTTGGATTAGGATTTCGAATCCTAGTTTCTTCTGGAAACTGGTTTCAAATTTTGTATATAAAAAAATTTTTGCTCGAATATTCTGCAAGTTTGTGGTAGGATTAGCTCATGAGTAGCTAATGTTAAAAATAGTTTGAAAAGTTATTAAAAATAGTTTAATCGTGTTTAAAAGATTTGGGATTTAGAATTAAAATGAAGCGAAGTAAGAATAGAAGAAATGAAGACGTAAGAAGAAGGTAGAAGATACAATAGAAAGAAGAATAGGATTTATATAAGGGAAATAGTACGAACCTGAAGATTGTATTGAAATTGAAATTTTGTATTGAAATTGAAATATTTTGTAGGTGGCTAAATGCTCGAGTAAGCGAGGCCAATAAAAATAAATAAAAAATAAAATAAAATTCTGCAAGTCGAACAAAAAAATTAACAAAAAATTTAGAACGATTAAAGCAGTTTTTGACAGAAATTATTTACTGTTCAATTTTATTGGTAATTTTTTTATTCAAATTATTAGAACAGAAAAATAATAATCGATCAGGATTTAAGAAAAATTAAACATTTATTTGTTTGAATGCATAATTTTCACAAATAAGGATGTAAATCATCTTAATATTGAAACGAGTTATTTAGCAGAAAGTTTAAACAAAAAATAATAAAACTTCAAAGTAAAAAATAAAAGTAATAATAAAATAAAAAAATGCATTTATTAGATACCCATAGATACATACTTATTGAAGTCAATTTTAGTATTAAAAACAATTAATTTAATACACGTATAAATTCATATAAATATTTTAAAACACGTTTATTTATAGTCAATTTACTTTTATGTCTAATGACATATGATTTTTCATATTTATAATGAACATATAAACTAAACATTGAAATTTGTTAATTTATACAATACCCAATGCAAAACGTTTATTGAAATCGGAATCGGAAACTTATATGATTCCGAGAACCAAAGCGCTTGTATCCATCTGGAACCATTTGGCTCGTCTTGATCCTATTCTTATACATATTAAAAACCGATTTTTCTGATAAAAAGCCAGCATTTTTTGGTAAAGCTCTTAAACTAAGTCGGAAGAAAATAGAACTGAACTCAAATAACACTACGGATGCATAGCTTTTTTCAATTTTTGTCTTTTTAAGCTATAGTAATTCTGGTTTGTTATTATTATTATTTTCCAAAATAAAAGTTTAGAAGCCAAAAAACAGACCAGAAAATACCTATACCCGAAAGATAGTGTTCAAGCCTCACAAATTTTATTTATCCATCTCCCTCTACCTATATACTGAACTCCCTCTAATCTGTAATAAAATAATTTTCTACCCTACTCTAGGTACTAAGATAGTTATAAGAAATTATCCATTCTGTACGCATAACTTGAACCGTGAACATCGAACAAATAAATACTATTAATAACTAACTAACTTATTTAACTTACATATTTTTAAAAGTCTGATATAGCCATTCTAATGATAAATTATATTTGGTCCTTCGAGGTAATAAAGTGTCTTTTAATTGACTTTTTTTAATAAACATTGCGCCGGGCGCTTACAGATAGTTTCCATAAAAAACCCTAGTAACTCGAAAAATTCACTTTTATATGGAAAAACCGTGCTTAACGAAAATCTCTATAAAAACTGTGTCACCTTTTGGCAGTTTTTATTATGATGAATAATGAACAAATTGAACGAAAATAAATATTAATATATTTAATACCAAACGCTAAAAAAATTTACGCTATCAATTACGTATAAACACTAATTAAAAACAAAGATTAAAAACAATGAAGCGTTTTGTTTTGGTATTTTAAACAAACTAGCTTATACGTACATTCAATTTAGTTTTGATCATAAAACGGGAAGTTCCCATCCTATTCACATATTTCCATCATAGACTTGGGCTAATACGAATTCGTAACTGTAACATACATTTTGTAATATTGTATTCTGATAGTAAATTATTTTGACAGTAAAACAATGGAAATGTTATTGTATTTTATATTAAACAAAATTAAAGTTTAGTGTTTATAATTTTGTGTAGTTACAAAATTAAAGAATCTTAGTAAAAAAATTTTTTTTCGAAAACCGTATAAAACGAGCACAACGGGAGATAGGTGTATGAATCTACAAAATTAATTTTAAGCTTATGTATACAAATCACCTATATTTATATAAAACCTCTATTTATTTTTTGCGAAAGAGTTTAGAATTTAAAAATTATTATTAAAATTTCTTGTAGATGAATGCTACATTTACTTACCAAATTTTGGTTATCAGCAGCTTCACTAAAATTTTCGTTATTTCATATACAAGGAAAAAGTATAGGCTAATTAAAAATTAATCCAACATCCACTGTTACAGTGAATACAAAAAAAAATCATTTTACATTTTTCATGACAAATAATTATCATTGTAGTAAATAGTTTATAAACCACCGTAAAAACAACTATGTTTTTTTATGACAAAAAGTGATTTTGACAAAAGGAAACAAATTAAATTATTAGTTATTCTTACTATTATGATGAACTTTTGGCAAAGTTCCATCTACATGTTGTATACAGTGTACTATTTGCAAAAAATGTGCTTATCAAATATGTAATTCAAACAGCAGCTGTATTTATTCTATTTGTAATAATTGTATTTCAAGAAACGTTGAATCTCATTATGATAAATTGAACATATTCAGGATTTATACAAATAGTAATAGTTGTTTATTATATTTAACAATATTTAGATTGTAATTTTTAATTTTGTTGTTCACATTCGTCCAAATCATAAGTTATGTAATTGAATATTTGTATTTCGTTTTTTTTCCTAAAAATACTTTCAAAATGGAATATAATTTTTTTCCTGGGCCCTGGGTTCGATCCAGGCTTCGAGTAGCCTGATGTCAAGCAAAGTGACATTGGTTTTTACTTCAAAATGTAGATAGCAATATATATCAAGATAGCAAAAAATTATAATTAAAGAAATGTAATAATAAAAATTTATCACATATACAATGAACAGCTGTTTGGATTGCCATCTATAAGAAACAAACTTAGTTTGTAATAATAATAATTTGGAAATCATGACAACAGCTCATAGGACCCTTAACTTCTGATCGCTATTTAAATCAATAATAAACTAGTGGTGCATGGCATCGTTGCTTAAGGTAAATTGCTGGAACTTTACGTACCAAAAATTATTTTTTTTTTAAATCTTTAAAATTTTTTGAGAATTTTGAAACATTAGAATTTTTGGTACGTAAAGATATAACAAAAATCACTCTCTATTTTTTGCGATTACTATAGCTTACCCTTCGGGAAGTTATAAAAAAAATATCAGAGCGGGGTCAATTTTGTATGGAAAGGACCCATACTTACCCTTTATAATCTTACATGATACAGTAATAAATCAAAGAAAAGAAAATATAAGTATAAATTTTACAAATCTTAGCTACTTTCAAAATAACTATTGTTTATCATTTATTTATTAATATAATGATGCTTGCTTGAATGAAATCATAGATGAAAATGAATTTCATTTCAAGATCAAGTCGGTTGGAAGTGAATTGGAAAACAAATAGATTAATTCACTGAACTCGTCCACTTATTAAAGTTATTCATTCATTAAAAAACGCAATGCCGTGACACGTATGAGAAATAAGCCGTGATGAGTCTCTATGATTTGCTTTTATTTTCTTTAAGTTCCCTTTCCGTCTTACTCGATCTCGCTTAACCGATTACGATGAATTTTTCTTAACTTAACTAGATATTCCTTATGAATAGCCGGTGCTACGACTTAAATAATCCATTGTAAAATAAATAAGATTATTAAAATTAATGAATGAATTAATTAAATTGAATTCTAAAATTTTGAAAATAAAAAAATATGAAATAATTACATTTTTTTTTACCATATAATTTTCAAATATACTTAGTGGACATCTAGCAAATATAATATAGAAAATATATTAAATCGACAACATTAAGTAGATTCTACTTTAGATGTAAAAATACATTTGAGTGAAATTAAGAGTATAATATGCTTGTAGAGTAAACAAAGTTGTTTGTTCAGAACCCACAACTTAAAAATAGTAGTAATGATTTTAAATTTTTGCTTTAGAGTTCAATCCTTCTGTAAAGTAGAAATGTAACATAGCATGGTTATGGCAATGGCCATGGCTCTAAGGCAAATTGCTGGAATTTCCTATACTCTAATTAAACATTCAAGAAATAAAAATAATTAATAATCAACAACAAATGACCAAAGATTAAAAACAATTTTCAAAATATTTTCAAATAGATCATTATAAATACTGTAAGTCAAAGAGCATATTCTACGAACAACTTATGTGTATACTTACAAGAAGTGTAAACCAAACCAAGATAAAATGAAGGCATTTGAGGAACTTATCCCATGAAAAAGATCGTGATGACATTTTATTTCACTGAAAACAAAAATGTTTTTAAAATTTAAAGAAATTCGAGAAAAATTCTGAATTTGATTTTAAAAAACCATTGTTTTTTTGCAATTATTTGAGTTGGAAGTTTAAAATTTTGAGATTTTTTAAAATGTTTGAAAATATCTATTTTTTGAAAACTCTTTTTATTTTTTCAAAATTTTGTAATTTTGATACTTTTTTTAAGTGTTAAAACCGTCGAAACTGACTTGCTAAAAAATTAATCAAGACAGACGGTTGTTAATGGAATCGTTCTTATCGGATAATCGGTTCTCTCAAAAACTGCAGGATCTTTTTTGAATCCTTTACGCTCAGTACGAAACGAATGGTTTTTCTTTTTTATTCATGTAGAAGACATTTGTTTGAACCATATAAATAAACAAGCATTCGATAAAGTATGGCACGATGGGTTGATAACCAAAATTAAAAGATGCTTGCCAGATCAATTATACAAAATACTGAAGTCATTCCTGACCGATACATACTTCAGGACTAGAATAAAAAATGCTGTATCAGATTTTTACTCAATAAAATCGGGAGTACCACAGGGTAGCGTACTCGGGTCAGTTTTATACGCAATATGTACGTACGACCTGCCAACAAATATCAACACAATCACGGGTACATTCGCGGATGATACAATGATTATGGCTATACATCAAGATCCAGTAGTCGCATTTTTAAACTTACAAGAACATTTATTCGTACTCGAAGAATGGCTAAAAGAATGGAAAATTAATATTAACGAAAAAAAAACAAAACATATCACGTTTACAACTAGAACTCAAAATTGAGCTGCTGTATTTATAAATGACATCGAAATTTTCACTAGTGTCAGCATTAATTTTTTAGGACTACATCTGGACCGTAGGCTCACGTGGAATCTCCATATCAAACAAAAGAGCAAACAAACGATGAAAAGCAACTGTACTGGCTCATTACAGGAAATCAAAAATCTGTTTAGAATATGCGATAATTTGATATGGATATGTTCAAATGGCATTTTTTTAGCTTTTTTTCTGGATCTCCGAAAACGCTAGACCTTCCAAAAAATAATGCTTTCCCAAAAATATAGTAAATTATCCATTCGGTCCATGCAAGTGAAATGTTTTTCGAATCATTCAAATGGACGCTTCGTTCTCTCAAAAACTGAATTACCATTTTTGGCCCGTATCTTTGGAACAGCTGGATTTGCCATAAACAAAAACTAATTAGCACGTCTCCCCATCAATAGGAATCGCATGTATTTTAAATCACTCAAATTGGTTGATCCGCTTTTTCGAAATCGGCGACAAAAATTGTATCCGCACAAATACATCAATTTTTTATTCAGAGGGCTTTGGGACGTTAAATTATACAAAACTTTTATTTTCGATTTTATGCGATTACTATAACTTACCTAAATAAAACTTACCGAAAAATACATTAATTTTCATCAACTAATATTATTTTTGAGTGAAGGAATACAACATCCATTTTTATTTATATTAATTTAGTAATATGTATTTTGATGAAAAGTGAGTGGAGTTTTTATCAGTGTGATGAATAATTCATCACCTGCTTCGTTTTCTGTTACTTCTCAGTAGAACGTAATGTAGTTTCGAGTTAGACAAAGAAGTATAAATATTGTAAGAGCACCGGATGTCTATTGTAACCTTGTATGTAACTAACTAGTACTATCATTAACCCAGATCTGCGTATGGTGAATTTTCTTGCATTTTATAAAATGTTCGGTGATCCAACCCAACTCTACATATTATTATTCTTATTTTATTTCTTCAACAGCAAGATACTGCTGTTGTCCCAATCTCGGCCAGCTCCATATCAAGCAACATAACAACGAATTTTCACTTGAGGTTATAGATCTCAAATATTATCTCAAGTGAAAATGGCCTTTAGTGGGCATTGTTGCATATGAAAAGTATGTACGTCGTCAAAATGAGTGGTTGATCGCTGGGCCCTCTCAAGGAAATATTTAGGTTGAGATGTACGTCATCGAATAGCACATTATTGAACACGTAGTTTTGATCGCTGTTAAAAAATAATTACTACTAAAAACAACTTGTCTTATAATTATCATGCTATTCAGTGTAACACTTCTTCAAAACGGATAGACCGATTTTTATAAAATTTTGTAATCGCGTACAGTATGAGGATCGGACAACATCTATTTTTCATACCCTTAAGCGGTATGTGTTTTACTTCAAAAACAATTAATTACCATCAAGGGTAGTCCAATTCTAACACTTTTTTTCAAAATTTTGGGTCAATTTTCTTCAATTTAAAATTTGGCGTGAACTTTTTAATACGGAATTGAATAATACATACAATTCTTTTTAATTCAAAATACTATATTTTCATAAAAAGTGTTAGAGGCCGACAACCCCAACATAATTTTAAAATTTTGGGACTAATTTTCTTCATTTCAATTTTCTATAATTTGATAATGAAAATCTATAAAATACATAGAAGACTTTTTACTTCAAAAAACGATTTATTTCTATCAAGGATTGCCTACCCCTATTTTTTAAAAAATTTTGGAACTATTTTTTCTAATTTTAATTTTTATAACGCGAAATTAAAAAATGTACACAACTCCAACTTTTGACCCTACATCCTAAAATCTCTATTTTATAATAATCATTTTAATAATCGAATAATTTTTTACCACGCTTTTAGTCAGTACGTGTTTTTTACTGAATTTTAATTCATATTTTCCTGAGCTTATAGAAAAACATAAATTTTACTTATATATATATATATATATATATATATATATATATATTTTTTCGAATTTCTTTGCTCCCAAGGGCCCAAATGCTTTCAAATTATTAAAGAAAAAATCTCTGAAAGTTTTAGCTCTTAATATTGTCTTTTAGATAGTGCGCAATCCAATCAAAGTTTTGTATGGAAATAGCATGGGGAAACTTTCAAAAATTTTAAAAGTGTTTTGTAGATATAACTTAGCGATCAAATGAATGAGTTTTATTCAAAATTCGACGCTCTACAAAGCAAATTATAAAAAAAAACTGTCTTGCAGAGCGTCTAATTTTCAATAAAAGATGACACAAATTGTCACTTTTAATTTATTTATTGCTAAGTTGTACCCAAAAAACTGTTTTAAAATTTTCGAAATTTTCTTCATGCAATTTCCGTACGAAGCTTTGATTGAATTGCGCACTATCTAAATGTTAATTTTAAGAGCTAAAACTTTTGAAGAATTTTTGTTATCAACTTGGAAGCATTTAAGCCCCTAGGAGGAATAAAATTCAAAAATGTCCATATTAAGGATCACCCTAATATATATTATTGGAGAAAATAATATGATATATATCGTATTAATTTCTCTCAACATATTTTCAGGCATTGATTACAGCTTGATTACACATGTTATATATTCCATGTTCTTACTTCATAATTTTTCCGCACTTTGCACGTCTATGGCGCCACTGGTAGCCCTCTCTGTCTCACTCTTTCAACCAATGACAAAACAGCTTCACAATTTTTCAACTATGCGTACTCACTCATTTTACTAGTTAAACAAACTCTAAATGGAAAACATCTCGCGATGAGAAGAGCTTTGTAAAGCTTTTTATTTATTTTGTTTTTATTAATTTAATATTTATTAGACAAGTTGTGATATTAATTGATGTGACATATTTTTTGTGTTTTTTTGTGTTTTTTAAAATTATTTGTATGGTAAGTTATTCCATATTAATTATTTATTTTTAGTTTTGTAGTCTGCCTTTATATATGTTAACAATATATTTATGTTATATAATAAATTTATTATCAAATTGTTTAGATTTACGCTACTTCACATGTTTATAATTATATTTTTATAAATATGTAACTTCTTTATACATATTTCTATCTCCTAACCGTTTGACAGTAAAGGCATTTATCTTCACTAAAATTGTTTTAATTATTGGATGGATGCTTAAGAACAACTTTATCATATATATATATAATAGATTTTTTTTGCCTTTGAGACAAAAGACATATACATGTATATATATATATATATATATCTATATATATATATATATATATATATATATATATATATATATCGTATATATATATATATATATATATATATATATATATATATATTAGATAAAATAAAAACTTCTTTTGTATCTGGTGTACATATGTATTTATATCGTAATTTATAATATAAATAATGCTTCTTAAATAAGCTTAAAAATGTCACCAATTATCTTCTTTTCAATCTGGTGCACACATTTATTTATATCGTAATTCATAATATTAAAAATATTTCTTAAATAAGCTTGAAAATGTCACAAATTATCTTCTTTTTTATTTGGTGCACACATGTATTTATATCATAATTTTTAATATAAATAATGCTTCTTAAATAAGCATAGAAATGTCACCAATTATCTTCTTTTCTATCTGGTGCACACAAGCATTTATATCGTATTTATAATATAAACATATAAGCTTCTTAAATAATCTTAAAAATGTCACCAATTATCTTCTTTTCTACCTGGTGCACACTTGTATTTATATCGTAATTCATAATTATCTTAAAAAAGCTTAAAAATGTTACCAATTATCTCATAGTGCACATCGGTTTAGTCATCAAAGTCAAAAGTTAGTTCTACACACATCTTGACCTGTTTGTTATACTCCTCACGATCTTCTTTGTAAATCTTTGCCGCCACTGTATTTGCAGGTGAATTGGGGTTAGGTTCACTTAGTAAAAATCGAATGGATGTTAAGACTGCGAATACATCATATGTTTCATTCCACTTATGAAACAAAATGTCGAGACACACAAGACCATCCCCGTATATATTCGGATGGAACATTTTGGATTCGAATTTTACTAGTGGTGGCCGCTTAGGGTAGAATTCACAAAACATTAATTTCAACTTGAATATTCCGTCTTCAAAAGGTGTGTCGAGAGGCCCAAATATAACGGCGTTCCATATCAACATATTGTCATCTGTAGGAGCTCCCGACACTCCAGTTGGTGGTTCATCAAGCAATCTTTTAAAATCATTCATTAGCCGTTGTCTTGCTGGAGTTGACATTTTTCGAATTAACTTTAACGTTCGTCGTAAAACAACAATAGTCACTTAATTTTACAAATGAATACCTGAATCTCATTAACAAAGTGATCCAGAACTATTTAATGCACTTGATTTAGCTAACAGAAACGAAACTAGTAGCCAGTAGCATACTAGTAGGCCATAGATAAAAGAAGAGTATAAGCAGGGATCTATCCAAACATAGAGAACAAATTTACATATACGTTTGCCTCAGTGGCGCTGTTAGCGTTTATCGCTTGGCAACCCCACGCTCATCAATGCAATCAAACCTGAACCCAAATTCCAAAAATATACAAAATAATAATCTATTATAATAGATACACAATTAAATCGTAATATATAAACAAACACACTGCCGGTTTGAATATAAATCACACATAATCTACTGAAAAAACTTCTAATCTATTTTAACTTATTACTACAAATATTTAATGAAATTCTGTGTACTATACAATAAAGTGTTAGATTATTACATAGTTTGGTGTCATTTTTAACTCTTATTAATGAATAATCATCTCGTGCAAAATTTGGCATTTTTATGCAAATTATTTTCTTCCAAATATATTCAAAACCTTTAAAAGTGGTAAGAATCAACTTGGGCGGTTGGCAATACTAAAAATCTCAATTTAGAGCCGACATAATACATTATTGGTAATTTCAATAATTTTTGACTGTTATGAATTTGGGAAATCGTTTTGAATTGAACAATTTGAATGCAAGAGTTTTCAATGCTTTGAAGACGGTTGGTAACAGTTAAAGATTATGGACTATTATTTATTAAAAAAATAACTAAATAAATATTATGTATTTTTAAGTTGCCAATTGTGAAATGATGTGCAGATAAATTTTGTTATATTATTAATGGTAGAAAGTGTAGTTAGAAATGTTTTTGTAACAATATTAAATTTATTTTATTAATAGTATAGTTTATGAAAATAAATATATTTGATTGAAGATCATCCTGATAGATATGTTCATATATTGATACACGTTATATTACATGATATAAATTTATAACAAAATTTTTTAAAATGAACATATTTCGAATAAACAAAATGCAAAAATATATTTAAGAAATTAATATTAAGGTATAGAAATATAAAAATACAGTTATTTGTGATAATAGTTAATTAAGTTCATTACGTTGATTGTGCTTGAGTACAATTTAAAAATAAATCATGTAAGTATCATGACACAGTACTATTAGTAAATTCACTAAGCATCAAATATCATTGAATGGGAGATGTTAATAATACAATTTTAGAGTTAGTAGTTACAGTAAAATGCCACAAAAAATCAAATATCAATAACAAGCAGATCAGATATTCAAAACGTAAATGTCGAGCGTTAGTAATCAGTTGCCAGAACAAATCGCATCTCGAAAGCTCATCGTCGGGAAAACGGAAGTTTCTGCAAATAAATCTAAAAAAGTTACAGTTAATTAATATTAGAAATGGAAAAATATGACTGCAACTAAATACAGGATGCATAAAACTGCCAAAAAACTTTGCACTGTCTTGCAGAAAAAAATAAATTGATCAATAGTATTTTTCCGAATATACGAAGAAATTAATGATCATAACTGGCTTATTGTTAGTGGGCGGGCTAAATTAGCAGATAAGAACATGGACGTTGACAAAATTAATTTTAAGATGCAACAGTTATTACCAGGCAATACGATGTTTTTTAAAGTAAAAGATACTGTTCTTAATAAAAAATAATTTGTGAGTTATCCAACAGAGTTTTTAGATATATCTCGAATGCCACCACAAAATCTGCATTTGAAGATTGGTTTACCAATTATTCTTATGCGTAATTTGAATCCTCCGAAATTATGCAATGGTATCCCTTAGGTCAACTGGATGATAACAGGAAATTAATTGAAGCAACGATTTTAACTGGGAGTTTTAAAGAAGTGGTTCTTCTCCCGCGGATTCCAATGACACCGTCAGATTATACTACACCATTTAAGAAAAATACATATCTCAGGGTCATACAATATCTATTTGTGGGGACTGGGTTAAGAAAATCAAGTGGCGAGCATAACTCATTTGGTAGCGTGTTCGATTCACACGATAGGGATCTTTGGATCGAATCCTGTCATTGACTAGAATTTATAAAAAAAGTAGTTAATTTGAAATTAAATGAAAATTGTATTTATTAAGTAGAAATTGAATAAAAATTAAGAAAAATAGGAATTACAGAATTCGAAAAGCTGAATTGTATTAGGAGTAAAAAGAAAAAATATCAGAATTTGCTGAGATTAAAAAGAAGAATAAAGAAGAAAATTTGAATGAAATTGAAATGAAGATAGAAGCAAAAATTGAAGAAATTAAGAAGAAGAAGAATATAGAATAGGATATATATACATATATAGATTGAATATGATATAAAAATTGGTATAGAATGTAAATAAATAAAAATGTTGTAGGTGGCTAAATGCTCAGAATAAGCGAGGTCTTGTATCAGTGTATTTGCACACTTACTGTGCCAGAGTAAATGTGTGTATGTGTGGACACAATTTTTTCTGGACGGTTCGGGCGTACGGAACAACCGATTTGAATGATTCAATATTCGATTTCATTGATAGGAGTTGTGCTGATTAGTTTTTGGCAAAAGTTGGTCCATCATTGAAATGATAATAATATTTTAAAACTAGGAATAAACAATAATATATAACTTTTAAATATTTACAGTTTTGCGCACGTTACCAATTTTTGAAAAACTACACCACATTTCCTGCATTTTTATTCTGTTATTATATGCATAGTTAGTTGAAAAATGAAAATTGACGACTTGACCGCGAACCATAAAGATGTTTTCGATTTAATAGTTGCAGTTATGGTATGAAATGAAAATGTTTAAAAAAAAGTTTCAAGTTTAAACCACTACAAACCGCTATTCCTAACCTAACGCTATTCGATTTTACAGTAAATTCTCTGAGATTGTTAACTTCAACAAAGAAGTAACAAGTACCATCCGCAAACGAAATAAAGTCACGTAGTTTTGTACAATAGGCACTACAATGCTCAACAATTACATCTTGAGAAACATCACTCATATTTATGTTTGATTTGAAATATTTGTGAAATAAAACAAAGTTTATTGGACACATCTATGCATTATACATTTCGGTGCATTCGAATTACAAATCCGATCTAAATGTTGTCTAAATTTTGGAACGCCATGAAAATTGATGGAAACATCTGGTATGTATCTGGTCGTCAATACTGTATTTGGGAAATTAATTATGCTCATTCTATTTCATAATCTCGAATATTTTTGTTGTTTATTCAGAACAAATTGCTTGCAATATTTTTTGAAAATGTAGCAATTAGTAAAGAAAATTGATTGAAAATATTGGAAAAGATGTTACTTATTTAAAAGGCTTTGCCTTTTTATATTGACTAATTTTGCTCGGAATGATTAAGTTTCTAAGAATTATTGAAAACTCTAGAAACACATTATTCAATGTAATTTAACCAACTGTGGGGCTAATTTACCTGTGGGGCACTCATTGAAGAGCACACAGTTTTGTGTCGTCCCATGATGAGTAAAATTTACATATTGAAAAATGTTATTACTACATTTTGCTTCTTTGTTAACGTAAGCATATTTCACATATGTATTAAAACTAGGCTTGCACCGAATATACGGTGACTATTCGGTATTCGGCATATTCGGCTCTTTTTTTAATATTCGGCCGAATACTGAATAATTAAAATAAAAGGCGCCGCCGCCGCTCAGCCACAGCATTGTTGGTGTTTTATCTTTTATGGGATAAAAAGCTTGGGATGAATCTGTATTTGGAAGTGTTTAGTTTACATAATATGATATGAAGAAATGCTTTCGTTATTGTATATATAATAATTTATTCTTTATTTACTTTTGGCATTATCAACGGACACGCAAAGAACTTTTTTCTGAATATTCATAAGCCACTTTATTATCACATTTATATTATTTAATATGAATCATTCAATGGTTTCTCGCATGTGTTGTATAAATACAATAAAGTCATTCATTATTTCAATCTAAGTATTTCCAGATAAAGAATTATTATTGGTTCTTTATCGCAAAATATACAAACAATATTTTTGATCATTTTTAATTATTTTTGATCATTTAATAACAAAGAGTAGCTGAATAGCAGTTGCAAGTCAAGTCATAAAACTTGAATAAACATGCATTGTGTTAGTAATATAACAATTACTGATAGTAATTACATTAATACAAACGAGCTTAGGCGCTAAAAACCTGCCGAATAGTTGGCGAATATTTGGTATTTGGTATTTTGCCGAATGTACTCTTTGTTGCAAGCTTAATTAAATTAAAAACGAGTTTAATTCAATGAAATATTATACATGTAAATGTAAGAAAGTAGGAATACCTTTAGATGAAAAGCAAAAACTATTCTTAAAATAAGCAGTATAGAATGCTTCACGCATTTTGGGATAAGTTTCCATAAAATGTGAATATTAGTTGTGAGTGGCATTGTCCATAAAATGGTAAAATGCCACTTACAACTATTGTTAACTTCCCGAAGAAGAAGTTTGTTTTCGCAAGAAAATCTGATTTGCTAATTTTATGTTTTCTCTATTCTGAATCGAATGAAATCAAATTTGGAAAAAGTATGTGCATGTGTGTGTATGTGAGTCGATTTTTGAAGTTTTCTCAAAAATGGCTGAACCAATTAAAAAAAAAGCAAAAATAAAATTCAAAATACATGATAGTCATATGTCAAAAATCAAATTTGTGATGTAAGTCAAAATTTGAATTTTGTCAACGTTTTCTCATAAACGGCTGAACCGATTTCTTAAATTTAAAATTTTAATTTAAAAACTTAAAAATAAAAAAGTACCGGGATTTGGTTTGCAAGACGATCGGCCAAGCAAATTCTCGGAATGCAATAAGCAATATAGTGCTTTTTGTTAACAATTTTCACAAAGACCTTGCTATATGAAGTTTGTGGAATTTGTGCATTGTTTACATAAATTAATAATTACATCAATTGATTATTTATATCCGTGTCACCTATTGAGCAGCCTAAAAAATTTCTCTATTTATGTTAAAAATGTTACCATTATTTTAAGCAATTCAATAATATCTAGGATTACGTGCATGACATACGTAATCATGCCAGTATTTTTATAGCAAATGCTTAATATTTCACAAAATAATTTATTATGTTTTTTTTTAAAAAATGTTTCGACGTTCTTAATGAAACTTAACAGTCATACGAAAATTGGTTAAATTATACAAATTAATTAAAATATTAAATAATATACGCTGCAATTTTAAGACATACAAGCACACGTATGTCAATTATTAAATCTATTTTAAAGTTTTTCCAACTTGCCTGAAGGCATAATGCCATTTGCAACTAGTTAAATATTTGATTGTAATTTGAAGGGGGAGCCTGATTTAGAGGCTTAAATAATCGTATATTTTTTGCAAAATTTTCTTCCAAAATTAGCCAAAAATATTTCTATAATGTCAGAAACAAATCTCTTCTAGTTGAACCTAAATTCTTAAATAAGTTATAATTAACCCACTTTTTAAAGGGAAATTTTATATAAAAAAACATGATTTTTTTAAGTTGTGAAAAATTAATGAGTTTCTCACTTTTTTCAGAATTTTTTCAGGTTTAACTAGAATATATACTATTGAACATATATATTTTTGTTTTTTTGTGTTTTGGATGAAAATTGTGACCTGCATCTTTTCCCCCAAATGACACCTGCACGCTCGTGGCGCATCGGCAAATTGCTTGTACCCGTCATAAATTTTAATGAAAATTTTTGAGAAGAATGTTGAAATATATAGCAATAAAACGTGCAAAAAAATTTTTTTTTCTCCAAAAATGCCTCAAAAAGGCGATTTTTTGAAGTCTCTAAAGCAGGCACCTTCCATAAGCATCTTTAATACTATTAGTTTGTGTCCTGTAGCAATACTTAAAATTTGCTTGTAAATTTGTTTATTTGTATCTGATTATAAATGTTATAAAAATATATTCAATCAATTCTTCCACAGAGTACAAAAATGCTAGATTTATAGAAAAGCTACGCAACTATAGCTAATCCAAATTCTTTATTACCAGTTATATCATTTTTACTAATTTTGAAATATATGCATATTTATTTTGTATTTCGTAAATAAATTGAGATTACATATATGTGGTAATATACACATTTTTCATAAATAATTAACAATTAAATAGCTTTGTAATGTGAGTTATGTGGTGTTAAGATATCACATATTGTTAGTACTGTGGGAAAAAATATTAACAACAAATGAACATCATTTACCCAAACAACAAATATACACAAACTATTTACAATAACAAGTTGAAAATATTTACATAATACGCGAACATTCTCACACAAAGTATTCTTGTTCTATATTATAATTGCTAATTTGTTACTTAAAAATTATTTTACATTGTACTATTCCTAAACATGTAAATTTTCAACTTAGTTTTGAAAATAAGTTTACAAAGTTTCAAGTGATTAATAGGTAATTAAATATTGTTTGTACGTTTAAGAATGAATAAACCTTTTTTGATTATTATTGTTTTTCTCTTAAAATTGTATCTACTAGATTTTTTTATTATACTTGTATTCAGTAGAAACTTATACTTGGTCTCACCATCTTCTAGCACCAATTATGAATTAAAAGCAAATTCGGAAACATCCATATTTACATACATAATTTAATATTATTATTGTATTTTAATTTATTTGAACAGCGATCTGAACTTTACGGTCCTATGAGCTGCTGTTATAAATTGCCTACAAAATACGTCGGTGTTTTTATAAAATCCACATAGCTGTGATAAATTTTATTTTATATTATTACAATTTCTATAATAGGGTTTTTTTTATTGACGCGGCAATGCCAGCTATTTTCACTTTTCATCACTGCTTGACATCAAGCTGCTCGGAATCTCTCATTCAGTAACCGTCGCTTTAAGCTTTACCTACGAGTGAACTCAATTTATTAATAATTTTGATTTTTATCGATTATTTAAATAAATTTACATAAAGCTAACATTAAAAAAACTGGAAATTATAATTTACAAGACTAACGATAATACGTGTAACGAAACTTTTAGAAAAAAATCGAATTTACAATTTTATTTATATAATGTGATTATAACTTTTTTTTATATATAATATTACATATAATTTAAAATTTTAGTTTTTGTATTCAGCTAACTGCACTTACATATTTTTCAAATTTCGTTAATTCATTCATCAATTCAATTGTCTAATTATTATGATTAATAATTATTTATTATCATGGCATTAGAGCTTATGTATGTTATTTAGTGCAAATCTCCCATGGCAAATACTAATTTTCATTATGTACATTGCTTTTTATTTCATTAAAAATTTAAATTAATTAGATAAAAAATTGTTGTTTGTAAATGTGTCGGTCAGTCTGAATGTCTGTTCGATGTAGACCAGAACGTATGGATCAATAAAATTTTAATCACAAGTTTATTACATGGAGTTATGTAAAATTATATATAGAGCTGGGTTTAAAGGTCCGCGGGTAAACATATTCATCACAGATATCACAAACCAGTGAACCTAAGAATTTTTCTTTTTTTTATTTGATTTATTGTTCATAGCAAACTATATACAGTACATTCAGCAAGAATTTTTTCTCAACCATATTTGAGAGTAGAGGGAAAAGTTGTATAATCAGCCATCACTTCGATGCTTAAGCCATCGGTATTGGGAGATAAATGGCTATGTTCAAAAAGCCCTAATAAATGTATTTTCTTTAAATGTTAGTACTATTGTTTAGTTTACGAGACCTTGATATAACTTTTAAGTATACGTTATTTATTTGTTTTATAAAATGCATTGTAATTTTTAAGTTAGATTCAACAGTTTTTTTCATGTAGTCTCTATAAGAGCTTACATCTGGATGGGGTAAAAAGGACGAACTGAATCATTACCCTGGCAAAGGTTTAAACAATAATAAAAATAAAAAAATAGTAAAAAATACTTTAAAAAATAATATGCTCGGACGTATTTTCGTTTTATTATATTGGCCATAAAGGTGACAATCTTCATGGCATTAATCTTTTACACGGAATGGTTGCTACCTCTCGTAGAGGGGGTAGCGGAGAGTTTTTGGGACTAATTGTTCACTTCCAAAAGAAAAGTCCGCTTAGCAACATGTTCAATAAATAATAAATTAATATATTTTCTTTCTATATATCTTAGTGACAAATTAGTGAAATACATACAAATACATACAAATACAAAACAAATCAGTGTTTAATACAGTCCACAGCTACAAGGGTTAAATTATAATCCAACAACCTGAGTTATCGAAGGAGAGTTTTAATAAAAAACATAGCTACGTGGTAGAGACAAGCAAATAAAACAGTAAATTAAGCTAAAAAAATTATAAAAAACAAGTAAAATAATTACTTATTTTTCTTATGCTAATGATTATTTCTGATAAACCAGATCAAGGTTGTATACAATGTTAACTCTGTACAAAATGTACTAATGAATTATTTGGTAAAATCTTTTCAAAATTAAACAATGCATCTTTATTTATGTATTGATAATATTACGGAATTTATGATTTTTGAAAAAGAATAGGGTCATTTCGTTCGTCCAGATGACTCCAACATTTTTTTCTATGATATTGCGAAAGAGCAAATACTCCCGCAAAACCTTCATCAATGAAACGCAGACGAATTATATTACATAACAATAGCAACTTGAACTAAACATATATGAACTCTTGAAAACAAAAGTGGCATGTGCTCGGTGTGTATAATTTATTATGAATCATACTTATTTATTGTCAATCACGTTCTGTCATTGCCATTTATGCAGGTGCAATATTGTAAACAAGCGATAAAAATACTGTATGTATATAATGTATACACATCATACATACCTATATTATTACCTATGGTATAGAATTTGCGATTATCTTAATTTCTTGATTTAAATTCTTCAAAAGATTAAAATTTGATAGTAATATAGTAAATAATTTTAATAATAATAAACATAATAAAATTCTAATAATACTGTCTATCTGTTTTAAGAGCATGATAATTATTTTTTCTTATTCAACGCGTTTTTTTATTCAATAGGTATGATGAGATGCTTTGCAATTTTTATTTGTCATTGTCTATTTTACATATATATAAATTTACATAAAAGTTCGAAATACGTAAATAAATTTCAATTAATATATACAATTTTTAGATGATCGATTTTGAGGGAGGAGAAATGTTTCAGATTTTGTTACTGTGATTGACAAAGATATGGTAAATTAATGGCGAAAAAAGTTAAGGAAAGTTGAGAGTTGGTGAGTTTTTATCGAGTTAGGCTCTTAATACTCGATAATATTCGAAAGCTTATTTAGAATGGTTCATATATAATTAAATACAGATTTTTTATGCCAATTATGTAGTAATTTTGTGTATTAATAGAATTTAATTAAATATAAATATTTGCTCGACTAAAAAATAATATGGGTCAGCGGTGACGATATCGGTTAGAACGTGGGATAGCACCAACTCGTTCCGGGTTTGCTGGTTCGATTCCCGCTACCACTGTAGCCCAACATCAGGCAACTTTGATGTCAAATTTCCACTTGGGGTTATAGATCACAACATAATTTCAAGTGGAAATCGTCCTTCGTGAACATAGCTGCATCATTCAATCATATGATAACTATTAGACGTAAGAACTAATGTAAACCGATGGGTTGCCTCTCATAAAAATACGTTAGGTCATAAGTCTTCACCAAACAGTTTATAGAACATGTAGTATAAGAGTTCTGATTGCTGTTGATACAATTAAAAAAAATGATAAAAATTAGTATGATTATTTAATTTTTGTTCGATTTACAGATGGCGGAGTCAGACTTCAAAATCACTCGGAAAGAGACTTGTCAACATTATCCATGTAAGTAAAAAGCTACATTATTTGCAAAGTATCTTCTGTAAATATAACTCATCCTTACTAGTTTATATCAGCTCATAGGGACATAAATTTTTAGATAAATGCTAAAATTATATCATCTCGTGCTAAATGGCATAATACACTAGAATAAAAGTCTGTGTTATTTTTACTATCGCCGCGGTAATTTTAAGATTAAGCAATACTGATAATATAATATATTTTGGAGTGGAAAAAGCTTTTCTGGTATTGCTGCAGTAAGTTGTCAATTATCACTATAATAATAATAAGAAATAATAAATGGTAGTCAGCCCGAAGGCAGATCCATGGTGTAATAGCCATCACAAATAAATGATTTCCTTACCATTCATCCCATTACCACTACACCCGCTCCCCATTTTTTTATTTTATGATTTTCCTTTCCAAACTTCTGCTTCCATGCTTCTTGATTCTGTTCTCCGGCTTTCAGTTCTCTGTATTTTTTCTTCTTGCGTAAGTCATCAATCGTCTGCATTCTTCTTCTTCTCATTCTTTGTGTTTCTCAAATTTTACCCCCGACGACGTCGTGCAGGAGGCACTTTTTTGCAAAGGAGGTCTGATCTAGTTTCCTTTTTTTAGAATTGTGCTCGGTAGAGTGCTTTCTTCACCCACTCTTTTCAGGACTTCTTCATTTGTAATTTTGTCTGTCCACTTTATCTTCTCCATTCGCCTCCAGCACCACATTTATATTGCTTATTATATACCTTTTATATCACTACATGAAAAAAAACTATTGGGTGGTTGCTTTCTAAAAAAATAGACAGAAAAATCATAAGATTGCTAGGTCAAGATTCAACATGACAACTCATACAACTCCTAGTTTTAAGTACTGTTTAAAAGCAATGTAATATAGGAAGTCTTACCTCGCCATTCGGATTTGTCCATTTTTACTTGAAAATATAGATCCCAATATATTTCTGATTATGAGTAAAAATATTTCTTCCTGGTATAGCTGCAGTATCTTAACAAATATCATAACTATTAGAAAAAGAATAATTATTGGGTTGCTTGGAAATGACTCCACATGACAACTCATACCACTCCTAGTTCCAATTACAGTTCAAAAGCCATATAATATAGGAAGTCTAAGACCCTCCATTCGGACTAGTCTATTTGTACTTAAAAATATCATATGATATTTTTGAATACAACTTTTTGGTATTGCTGTAGTAAGTTAACAAATGTCATCACTATTAGAAAAATGACAACCACTAGGAAGCTTTCTAAAATCAGACAGGAAAATCATTCGGTTGCTTGGAGAAGACTCAACATGACAACTCATACCACTTCTAGTTCTAAGTACTGTTCAAAATTAATATGATATAGGAAGTCTTAGACTTGTCGACCGGAATTATCCATTTTCACTTAAAAATATAAATTTTAATATATTTCCGAATGAAAATAGCTCTTTCTGTTATAGTTGCAGTAAGTTAACAAACATAATCATCATTATAAGAAAGAGGATAACCAGTGGGCTTTCTAAAAGAATCAGGCAGGAAAATCATTGAACTGCTCGGAGAAGACTCAAAATGACAACTCATACAACTCCTTCTTCTAATTACTTTTTCGGCCTTAGAAACAGAACTTGATTTCATTTTTATTGTATCACTTTTAATGCATTGAATTACTGAAATATAAATATCAATAATATATAAATATGAGAAATGCATGACGATCATAAAGGTTGTCATGATACATATGTACGAAAAGTTGGTACTTAATATTAAACCATATGAATTTTTGTCTAACTAAGATGAAAGAGTGTGAAAATAATCTGCTCTTTCAGGTATAGATTTTGTCAGAGTCGGCTATTTTATATGGAACATTTGCATGAGGGGATAGACACTATTAAATCACTCAACCGCTCTAATGTACCTATATATATCTTATAGCTTATGCATGGCTATACGTGATTATTTTATAATTCACAAGCGAACATTCCTATACCGCGTACGCAAACAAATACCGCTTTATATGTAGAAGACAGGGGATGGCAACTAATCCCATCCTGAGCTCTCTGGAAATAAGAGCACAACGTTAAAATCTGGCTAGTATTGCTGGAACTTTCCATACGGTGAAATTTTGAATTTTGAAACTTTTGACCGCCAAATGCCATTTGTTTTTAACTTTTTTTATTGGATGTCCAAAACCGCTGGATCTGCTTTCCTTAAAATTTGATCAGTTTTTAATCCCATGAATACTGATAAAATCTTTTCTGAATCATTTAAATCGGACCTTCCGTTCTCTCAAAAGCTGAATTACCATTTTTTGCATTTTTTGCACCGTATCTTCGAAACTCCTGGGGCTGCTTCTGCTAAAAACTAATCGGCATCTTTCCATCAATAGGAATCGAATGCCTTTTGAATGATTCACATCGGTTAATCGTTGCTTCCAAAACGTCGAGAAAAAATTGTATACATTCACACATACTACACACACACACATGCACACAGATGAACACACACACACACATACATATATCCATTTTTTCTAAGGTATGTCAAAATGTTCAGAAACCTTTGAAACGTAAAGATAAATAAAAATTTTCATTTAGATTTTTTTGCGGTTACTAAAACTTTCCCTATGGAAAGTTCTAGGCGATCTTATTTATATAATGTGTAATATTACAAAATCTGCCTTATACATCACAAATTTTTTGGACAGTGTTATATTTAGTTAAAACAGTTGTCTATTTTAGTTCTATAAAAATAATAGAGTACTTCAAGAAAATAGTATGTTGGGAAATGATGAAAGGCGACTTACAATAGAGAGTGTATTTATGAACGCAACTTTAAGTTGAGTAATGTTGTGATTCTATTGATTTTCTGAAAAACAGTTGATATTTGATCTATATGAATTGCATATAAGAATTGAGAGAAGACCTTGACATATGAGACTAGTATCTAAGGCGCTTGATTTTATGCAGTAATATTATAAATGAATTTCAATGCAAATGATAATTATTCAATATAATGTGTTTTTTATCAATGCTTACAATTTCAAATTGTTCTCTACTCTTTTAATAAAATTTTATTATTAAAAGTAAATATTAAACTGAAAAGTTTCAAAGAATAATTGAATCCTCAAATACAGATTTTTTTTTTGAAATTACTTTTCATTCATTTTTAATGCAAATTTATATTTGTTTATTAATTATGGCATATTTTCTTTGTAACATATGCTTAGCGGGAAGTTCTAATAAACTGGTTGCAGGCATGCTACCACACATATTATTAATACTAATAGATTAAATTAAAAGAAAACATAATTATCGATCATGAAACAAATAAATAATTAATTACAAAATGGCAACGCAACCAATCTTTATAAAAAATTAATCAACACGATTTTGAAATGATATCTTTCCAACGGTTTTTAAATTCTCCAAAACGTGTATTTTGAAGTTTTTGCGAAAACATCTCGCAAAACGAACATCGAGAGTCCTTAACGAATTTTATCAAACACACTTTGGTTTGAGTAGGATTTGAAACGTCAAGAAAATAAAAATAGCAGATACTGGAAGTTCTTCATAAAACATGATAAAATATTTGAAATGAAAATACGATACTGATTAGAAACCAGAGTAACCAAGTCGAAAATGATCAGATCGTGTATGTATTTAATATTAATTATTTGAATTCAATTTAATGTATATAAATTTATAATAGTTTCATTATAAGTTTTAGTTTAGAATAGTTTCCAAAGTCTGGATTATGTTTTGATATTAAGCCGAGCACGCCTCGAGCGATGTTGAGGTATTACATATTTTGTTGTACTCCTTTATGAATGTCAGGTATTAGTCTCAACAGATAGATCTCATCAAAATAGTGGCGATATTATTCAGCTTGACATTAAAATTACTATTTTTATTATTATTGGTTAATATATTTTTACAAAGGTTCATTATTACCTTTAGTAATTACTCGTATACTGTGAAAACCAAACCAACTATATCACAAAAAAAAACATATCAAACGAATAACTATCGAATTTTCTTCAGTAAAATGGTCAGAATCATTGTAGAAATATATTATGCTATTTTTATAAAATTTATCATCTGATACTTTTTTCTCCTATTGGCGTCGGGGTAAAAAGATACAGCCAGAAGCCAAAAAAAATCACTATTAACTTCCAGTAGGATAGTTATAGTAATGGGCCGAAAATCGAAAATGAAAATTTTTGCATTTCTCGACGTTTCTGAATATTTTGGCATACCCAGAAAAAATGGATGTGTGTCCACGTTTTCGGGCGTACGGATCAACCGATTTGAATCGTTCAACCGATTTGAATGATTTCTATTGATAGGGAGATGTGCTGATAAGTTTTTGGCAAAGGCAGGTTCTAGACAAACAAATGGCAGTTTTTGAGAGAACTAAGCGTCCGATTTGAATTATTCAAAGAACTTTCTGATTGTTTCAAGAAAATAATTGCTTCAAATATTTCTTCAAAGTTTCAAATATTTTAAAATTTTTTTTTCAAAAAAATTTTTTTTGTATATTGAAAATAATTCATATTTTAGTTTTAATGCTGTTCTAATATACTTTAAACAAATAATTTCAACTTTGCAATTCAGTTTATATAATTCTTATAAATAATAAACAATGTTACAATATTTATAAAAATCTATTTGAAAACACTTAATATTTCTCGATCATTTCGTTGCGGTACGGTAAGTTCCAGCAATTTGCCTTGAGGCGCGATGCCATATACCACTAGTTTTAATTTTAGTTTCAAATAGGTTTTACGGAATAATATCTATATTATTCAATCAACATGATGCAGTTTATTAGGTCGAATAATAAATAAAATTTATCGGTTTTTACTACTATCATAAAAGCTTTGGTTTGGATTGGTTTCTTGAAATAAAATCATTACATATAGAGCAAACATATTTACTGTTTGAAATACATAACACATCGGCTGTAAAGTCTCGAGGCTAACTAATCAACATAACACATTTTCTTGTCATTTTTTTTATTCAATATAGTTTTCTTTGAGGACGATATATATATATATATATATATATATATATATATATATATATTATATCGATTATATTGAACTTCGAACTTTTCGAAACCATTTTTGTAGTACGATTTGTACTTTGGCACAAAATTCGGCATTTTGCAAAACTTTTTTTACAGCGAGCATTCTTTTGAGATCTGAGAACATGATATTGTCGCTAGGGAACAGATTTAGAGTACTCTAATTAATGTTTTTTGCCACTGTTTTCATGGATTTGTGACTTGATGAATGGTTTGGAAAGATAATTCTTTGAGAATCCCAAAAAACTGACGCTATAATCTTGCCAGCTGATCGTTTGCATTTTTTTCCTCATCGTTTATAGTCTCCTCGGCTGATTGTCTATTCGACTCCGGCTGTAATGGTGAATCCAAGTCACATCCATGGTAACATTGATGCAAAAACTCATAATCGTGTTATTTCGATATCCTTACTAATCATCCTTAACACTCCAAATTTCCTTACTAATCATCAACTCGTTATGCTTTTGGTCAAATGTGAGTTCGCGGCACAGAGCTTTTTCCTATTCAAATATTCGCGGAACGATATGTTCACTACATTGTATTGATATCTTTAGGCTGTTAGCTAAAAGCCATTTTACTTTTCGGTTTTCGAAAATGAATGGCAGGACTATTTCGATGTTTACCGGTATAACCACCACAATAGACCTTCCAGAGCGTTCAGCATCGCCAGTGTCTGTATGGCACGATTAAAATGGGCGAACCACTTCTCCACCGTTTGCCTTCATTTGGCAGAGTCCAGATAACTGAACTTTAATAATAAGTGAACACACACAATTGCTTTGAACGCATAGTTTTTAAAATCCCAAAAGTAGCGTCACTTAAACCTCAGTAACTTGTAAACTAATATTCGGATTGTTATGAAAATTTGACAGGTATCGTTTGAAGCTTGGTACGTCCTAAAAATCATATGGATTTTTGTTAGTAGAGCCAAATAGCAGTTGTTGAAGCGGGGGTCACCAAAATTGGTAGCGACCATGTCCACGTTTGCTACTCTCTTAGTAATCAAAATGAATAAAGAATATTAATCTTAAAAAAAAAACTTTAAATGATGTCGCGATATTAGTATTATCCCCAAATTTTAATTTTTACTGTTTTTGGAAAATTTGAGAAGCTCAAAAAAGTAGTTACAAAATGGTCTTTTTAACTTAATCCTAGTGGTAATTCTTAATCCATTTTTTCTAAGGTATGCCAAAATAATCATAAATCTTTGAAACGTAAAAATATGTAAAAAAAAATTATTTTCGAGTTTTTTAAAAGTTATTTAAAAAAGCAAGTATTTTTTTAAATTTCTACACTAGAATACCTTCTTAAGCAAAAATGTAGTTTTGTGACTTCAGCTTTAATTTATATAAAAATTGTTAAAAAAAAGTTATTTTAACAGATCGCCTCTAAGAAGTTTTAGTTATTCAGATTCAGATATTTGGTTTTTGTGTCATCATTCTAATAAGTTAAAAATGTCGTTTTTTAAATAGATTCTATTATATCTGATATATTCCGCAGGACTCGCTCAAGTACCTTGTATCGAAACAGCAATGGGCTTGCTGCGCTTGCGACACCTGTCTCATTGCACGAAGACGCCCAGTTCCAAATATCAGGCAACAATCGGGCGACGCTGGCGATGAGAAAGGCCACTGTGTGGATGCGCCCTCATGTGAGTTGTACAATATTATAAGTTATTAATTACATCTTTTAAATTTACCTTCAATATTGACCATTTATCGTTTATTCAAAAATGTGTATGTATGTTTAAATTGTTTGTAGCCAAGATCGTTAACGCGTTGACTTTGTATGGACAGGGTCGCGCGTTCGATCCCCGCTCTGGCAACCTGACATCGGGCAGAGCGATGTCCATTTTCAATTGAAAATATAGATCAAAATATGTTTCCAATTGAAAATAAGCCCATCTCGGGCACTGTGGTGTGAAATGGAAATGGGAAAAACTCTCACACTACTTCTTCCCTGAATCGAGTTGGAGTTTAACTCAGCTCACGGACCTGCCCTAGGGCAGAGCACTCATTATTATTATTATGTTTAAATTAATTTTTTGGTTTCGGATAGAATGAATTGACTTCGGTTCCAATAATTTGCAAAGCGTTCTATTCATTCCATATGGAGATGTGGAGAATAATAGCAAAATACATTAGTGGAGACTGGGTACAGCTGTGCCACTTTTTTATCAACAATAATTTTGTTAAATTACCAGTTAGCTGGGAGAAAGTAAATTAAATGGTATTTTTTAACATTTGTCTACATGAAAATACTGAAATACTGTCCTTAATTAAATACGATCGATTCATTAGAAAATCAGATCATACAAGAAAAGGGTGAGTGTCACAACAGTCCCATGGATTAAAAATAAGTTTAAAAACAATAGCTATAAACACCGAAATGGTTTATTGTGAACCGAACAGTTCAAATATTATAGGTCTATGAAAATCGCTTTAATTATAAAAATTAATTAAAATTTATTTCATTCAATACGAGAACTATTTTTCAGAACTTTGATTAAATTTTATTATTAAACTGCTTTTTATATGTGTATGAGATTTTAAACTGTTTGATGTGACCAACAACTCTATTTCCTTACGAAGTTTGACTAAAATCCTAGAAGAGTAAACCTGAGATTTTCCTCGTTAGTTTCTCTAACATATAGGTAACTGAACTCCGTAATAATCTAAAATATTATAGTTTTAAAATGCAAAAAAATTAATAAATTAATTACAAGTTATCTTGTTACAAGTTGAAAGATTTTTATTATTATAATTTATAGTATCAAGCATTATGAGAAAATCTAACTTATGCATTGATATTCTTTTATGTTCACTATTTATTTAAATTATTTGTTTCAACATTTTTTTTGCTTTTTTCTATTTACATTTTTGATATTTTTTTATATTAATTAGACGAATTTTATAATTTCAATTTTATTGAAACTCGGTATAATTCTAAAAATATATTAATATATTTTGCAGACATCATACTTTTATTATCATTTATTTCCTTTTTCATACAACTTTGTACGAATATTTAAAAAGAATCGTTTATGATCATATATATATATATATATATATATATATATATATATATATATATATATATATATATCGAAATCTTTGAATTTGCAAAAACTTTGTAAGACAATATCGTTCATTTTTTAAATATAATTTTGAGCAGGTCACATAGACACATAGATTTTAAGTTTTCTGCTTAGATGACTTATATTGCCATATTGTGTAACAATCTCACTGTTTTCAATAATAATACTTTTGTCAGGAATTCTAGAGTATGTGACCTGTAATTTAATTAAACGTTAACTAAGCACATGTGCATTCTTTTGTGCGTGTTTAACGATTGCTTGGTAAATATAATGCACTGATTTGTCTTTTGAAAATAATTAAATAAAACAAATATTATACAAAAAATTAATTGAATTCAAAAAAAATAATAAATGCATAATTTCGAATATGATCCGTCTCTTTACAATATGATACTTGATTTAGTAAGGTATTGATTGAAGCAGTGTATTTGTCAAATCGCAGGAATTGTGTGCTCGTCCGATATTTCGCACACCTGTTCCACCCGGTATGGTGCCGCCTGCACGAGAACTGCCTGATCCTGGTGGGACAGGGGATCCGAATTTACTCGGGGCGATTGGTGTCCTGGCTCAGTTACCTCGCCTACTGGACAGAGTCATCCCGCCTGGGCAAAGCTTTGATCCTGCACAAGGCTATTGTGGAATGTTTAGGTGAGTAATGAAATTAGCACAATCTTCACTAACAGGAATTGACACTGGTAAAAACAAATTAAGTATAGGGGAATTTGGCAAAAGGGTAAACTTATCGGCGGTTTCACTAATCAGTGTTCTAAACAAACCTTTTCGGATTCGGTGAAAAATGCTTGCTTTAGTATATAATATGCATTAATTTCTAGTGCAAATCATGGGTGTGTTATTTATTATCCATCGTGAAAGCAACTTCACATGTTTTTCAATGCAAATAGTCCTTCACGGGTATTGCTGCATCGAATTGAATAATAAAATAATCAAACTAGTGGAGCTCATGGCATCGTGCCTTAAAGCAAATTGCTGGAACTTCCCGAACATTTTTGAAAAAAAATTACTTTGAAAAAATTAGATTTTTGAGAAACTATAAATTTTTGACAAAAATTTACTTTTTTTTGAAAAAAAAAGACCGAAGAAAAATTTATTTTGAAATATTTTAGAAACTCTGAACTTTTTTTTAAAGCAATCGTACTGCATCGCATAGAGACAAAATGTCGAAGCGCGTAAGCGCCACGTCGCCGTATAACGGATAATCATTGGTACGGAACCCATAGGAATGTAAACAAAATTTATACTTATTGTTAAAATCTGTATAAAATATCTGATAATTTGATGTACATATGTCTAATGATCATTTTTGACCGCCAAATGGCTTTTTTTTACTTTTTTTACTAGATCTCCGAAACCGCTAGACCTGCCTTCATGAAAATTTGATCAGTTCTTTATCTTGTTAATACAAGTAAAATGTTTTTTTTGCCCCACATCTTCGAAACGGCTAGACCTGCCTTCGCCAAAAACTAATCAGCACGTCTCCTTATCAGTATGATTCGAGTGTTTTTTGAATTATTCAAATCGCTTCATCCGTGTTCCCGAAATCGTCGACGAAAATTTGTATCCGCACACACACACACGCACACACACACGCACACTCACACATACATCTATTTTTTCTAAGGTATGCCAAAATGTTCAGAAGGTTTTGAAATGTAAAGATATATAAAAAGTTTCATTTTCGATTTTTTGGGATTACTATAACTTGCCCTACGGAAAGTTAATATGGATTGATTGTTATCCCTTGGTCACCATCTTAAAAATACGACGTAAGGAGAAGTTCGAGCAAAATATCTCATAGACTGGAAGTTGTGATCGCTATTAAATATGAGTATTAATGAAAAAGCTTTGCATGCATGATCTGATTTCAATTTTTATACAAATGTTTAAATTAAAAATATATTTTCAATGAAACGCGCTTGAAAATTAAGACGTATTTGAAATGCTACCCGATAAAAGTTATAATTATATAATATAAGTATATATCAAAATATTAAATATATATAAAATAAGTTATAACAAAAAACACTAATTAAAGCTGATGGTATTATTTTTTTGTAATTGAAATTTAAATTACTTAAACAATATATAATAAAAATTATTAGAAGTATAAATTTGAAATATAATATAATACCGATTCTAATTTCTAACAATTAGATCGAACTGTGATGGAATTTTATACCTACGCTAGAAGTGTATTATCTGATTTTCCAATCGTTCGAACGATATTAATTGAAGCAATCAAATAATTTCGATTAAGGTTTGCAACACATGACATTTTAAAGCGATATGTAGTAGATAGCGACAAGCAGGTTATAAAGGATAGAAACACTATTGCTAGATTTAAGTTCTAGGCATGTTTTGATCAAACATATAGAAAGCGTAGAAGCAGATATATATATATCGTACACTTTGCTGCATTTTTAATATTTTTAATATTTATCATAATACCGAGACAGTTCCGGATTGCCACCTTGTGTCCCGGGTTTTTCTAAAAGCACGATTTGTTCCGTATTTTGATCTTTTGTCCCGGATTGATTCGGGGTTTCGAACTACTACTAAAACTACAACTACTCAAAAATTTCAAATATGATATATAAAATATGCTTAAATGAAACTATATACGTTAAGAATGAGAGAATTGGCGAATGCAAAATTTAAAGCTGGGTAAAATAGTCTCTCACGCTAAAAGTTTCGAACTTTTATTTGAAATTTTACGGAAACTACAAAAATTATAAAAACAAACTAATTGGCTGCGTGGCGCAAGTGTTAATTATTACTTATTATAAGTTTATTATGAAGAAAATTGAACAGGATTTTATATAAAGCCTAAAAGCGAAAAAACACATATAATATAACATCATAGATAAAAGAAGACTATAACATATAATCGAGTAATAGTTTTTAACAAATTAAGAAAAATTTATTCATTTAAAGAAACTGTTTTTTATTGTGTCCTTATATAGTATTTGTTATTTTAAATCATATTAAAGTCATTTAACATAAAGCCCCCCGTTTCTTCATCTCGGATTAGAATACCTATAAGTTGTTTTCCTGGTTTTAACATAAAAAATATGGTCATATTACTATTACGAATATTAAGTTGTCACAATACATTTCCAAGAATGTATAATTACATCTTGAAAATTCAGAAATAGCTCATTTTAATAATTTCAAATATTTTGAAACACCATATGTATGATATGAAAGAGAAAGCTAACTGCATTCAGAAACATTTTACATTGTACATGAGTTTTTAGATTTTGAATTTGAAAATTCTTTCACACAATATAACATATTTGCATTTTTTATTCATTTTTTTAAAGATCAAACACAAAAATAAATTCGTTTGCAGCAAATAAGTACAATTTTAGGACCGCTAAAAATAATATCTAAATCTTATCTTCAATATTGAAATAATGAATTAATTATTGCGGTTTTAACAAGATTCCGTTTCTGGCAATGGGGTTCGTGGGTGGAGATATGTGTGGACGATCGTCTGGCATGCAGATCAGGAAAACCAGCTAGAATGCACTCAGCTCAACCCGATGTCTTCTGGGCGGCATTGCTGGAAAAAGCTTACGCCAAGTAAGTTTTATAAATCACAAGTAAGAGAATAAAATTAAAAATATTTTTACTTAAATTTGAACCAATTACAAACTATCAATGCAAATCGGAACTGCTAATGTTTGATATTAGAAATATCTATCATAAAACTGTGTATTTTACCAAAGAGTTTACTGAATATAAATGTATTAAATTTAAATCATAATTTTAAAATACTGATTTTTTTGTAATAAATATCTGTTTTTTGATGTCTTTATCTGTGATCTATTTATACAAAACAATGAGCAAAGATTATACATTAAAAGCGTTTTGATCAGCGAAGAATTTACTAGGTGTATAAAACAAAAATATAATAAAGATTCTCAAATATCTCTGAGCTTCATACTCGTAATCAAACATCAAATGACTACATGTTTTAGTTTTGATATTAATAGTTTAATTAAGATTTATGGATTTTAAAGGCTTTATGGTGGTTATTCTGCTCTCCGAGCTGGTTCGCTGGGTCGTGCATTGCAAGATCTGACGGGATGTGTTGTGCAGTGTGTTCAACCAGGAGGACCATTGCTGGCAGGTGCTCTTCCTAGATCAACACTGCTAGTAGCAACTATTAACACGGTACACCAAATATACAATGATCAACTTTATTAACTAACGGTATACACCAAATTTAATCTGAATTCATTGATATCATATTCAACAATAAAAGTTTCAGTAAGAATATAATAAATTTTGCCAGTTCAGAGGCAGTACTATATGCAATTCAACAATACATTATTTAATTTGAGCAATTATTTAATATCGAGATTAATGATTTTGTTCAAACTATATAAGCAATTTTTTAAAATAACAGGATTATAATTTTTATTATTCGTGAAATTCGTAAGTGCATTTGATGCTTATATATCGAAGCTGATATGTCAATCTTATTGTTAGTTAATTAATTCTTTGTTCTGGTAATGCAAGTGAAATGTTTTTTGAATAATTCATTGGCTCAAAAACTGTATCCGCACATATACACATGCACATGTGCACACACACGTACATATATGTACATACATACATGTACATCTATGTTTTTCAAAATATTCACGGTCACTGTAATTTTAAATGTCTCGAATTATTACAGCTTTGTATGGGTCACGGGTAATATATATTATAATATATATATCACGGGTATATAATTTTCTAAACATTATAAGTCAGTGTTTGTCATACTGGTTATTGGTAGATTTTTATTATTATATTGAGTGTGACATAGGATCCTGCATCTTGAAATTGTCTCTTGGGCTTTGCGTAGTACCTTGCTTTCAAATATACCATACACAATTAAAACGTTAATATTTTTTGAAGAAATTAGTTAAAATAAATTAAATAATGATAATAAGAGTCTGCCAAAGGCGGGCCTGTGATATGAGAGCAATGATTTCTTTCTCCTCCCTTGTTTATTATTTCTATGACTATTTTATTACCATTAATCTCTTTTGTGAATTTTTTTTCACTGCCTACATCCTTCCTTCTGGTGCTTCTGGTTCTTTCCACTGGTCTGGTGCTTTGGCTTTCAGTTCTCTGTATTTTCTCTTCTCGCGCAAGTCATCAATCATCTGCATTCTTCTTTTTTCCAATCCTTTCAGTCTTTCCATTTTCTATATATTTCTATATATATGTCCGATCCAGTTTTCTTTTCTTTTCAGAATTGTTCTCAGTAGAGTCCTTGTTTGCCCACTCTTTTCAGGACTTCTTCATTTATTACCTTGTCCGTCCATTTTATCTTCCCAATTTGTTTTCAGCACCACTCTACTTTGCCGCGCTTTTCTACCTATTTCAACGCTGTTTGTATCTTCCTGGTTCACTCTTCACTATCTGTCCGATATACAGATTCTGGAACAGCCTGCGCTCTCTTCAGTCGATATGAAAAGATTTTAAAATTTACATATGTGTATTTCAGTAAAAGCTTTTTACCAATCTATGAAGTAGAAGCAAATGTCGCGGTTAACGTCGAGACATCTGTCTGCCTATTCTCAATATTCCAATGGCATCTTTGATGCCTATTCTTTTTCTGAAGCCAAACTGGTCTTCGTTTATGAGCTGCTCTATCTTATTTTCGAGTCGTCTCATAAGGCTATTAGAAGGAAACTTTCCTGAAGCCAAACTGATCGTTCTGTGGCCGCTGCACTTGCTTGTTTTTTTGTGAAGAGCTATCATCGCGACATTCAGGAAGTCCTTTCGCCAATCGCCCGTTCGGTATAGATAGTTTAACAATTCAGTCAGTTCTTATTAATCCATTGTTGCCCAGTTATTTCAGCAGTTTTGCCGGTATGTAGTCATTCCCTGTCGTCTTTCTTCTTTTCATGTCCTTTATTGAGTCCTCTCTAGACTTCTCTAGACAAAATTGAAAAAAAAAAATAAATAACAATTTTTATTGTGCTAGAAGATATCTTAAGTACGTTTAATTAGTTTTAAAACATGCATTTCTAACTGTGAATTTTTGTATATATTTTTGAACATTTTCATTGTGTTCCACAGGAACGCGACTGCATTGGTACAACAAGTAGGAATCGAACGCGTCAGTCGGCTGCACGCTGTGGCTTGTTGACCGATCATCCTTACTGTGTATCAGGACTGGCGCGAGTTCGTGCTGCTGAACCTCCTTCTGCTACGAATGGCGGTCATAACAATGGATTAAATGGCAGTTCCACAGCCAGCGCTGCAGCAGCCGCCGGCAATTACACTGGTTTTCATCAGCCTGGTCTTTATGTTTTGGATGGCGAGCGATCGGCAACATTAAGATCGAACAGCGTAGGTAAGAATCATAAGAAAATTTCTTTACTTGGCACAATAAAAAAATACGATAAATCTTCTGAAACAAGATTGTTTAATTATTTTTTTAACTAATACTATAAACAATTTTGTTGGTATAATTTACAAAATTAATTACTATAATTCGATGACTACCAAACCTTATCAAAGCCGGAACAGAGCATTTTGAATAAGATTTTTTACTTTTGAGTATCTTTATCAGATTAGTTGTTTGTTTGTTCTGATAATTAACAAAAACATTGAGTTGCAGCTGAGCATGACACAGCGTTAGTACGATTGCAATCACCTTGGGGCCGAGGTAGTTGGTTGGGAGCTTGGGCTGAGCGTAGTTGGGAATGGTCAGCACTGCCACAACGTGATAAGGAATTATTGGCACCGAGACCACAACATGACGGCGAATTTTGGTAATTATTTTTCAAATGTGTACAATAAACACAAATCGTAATTTATATCGTAAAGTATATAAATAATTTTTTTACTGAATACCAAATACATCGCTTATAATTTGCTGCATGAAGTTATATGAATTACAGTTTTGTTATGTTATAAAAGCTGCCTTTTTAAACGGCAAATTTGAAGGAGAAATTGTTTTTTCACCGCATAATTTAATGATCTCTCCTGATCTGATTATTCCATTCAAACGTTTGGTATTACAAATTTGTTTATCTTTGTCGTTTGTGTCAAAGGGTAAACAATACCAAATAAAAATTAGGAAGTCTAAATTTTATGAATCAACACACGGAAACAAGCAAAACTTTAGGACTACATTTAGCTTTATTATATCATTTTCAAACTTCATTAAATCATTTTATATTAGTATCAAAATTTCCATATGTTGTGTGCTTTTTGGGAAGTGGAGGATAAAAATTATCTCTTTAATATGTATTATGTACTATAATTAAATATTCTACGAATATTTTACAATAATTGATTTCTAGGATGTCTGTGACCGATTTTTGTGCGCGTTTCACGTCTGTATGGTTAGCACACGTTGGTCCTGATGATTGGGCTTTGGAAGCAGCCTTGCATGCTCGCGCTCCTTGGAGGGCTGCGCTTGCACTGCGCCAGTGGCGGGCGGGATTCAATGCGGGCGGTGGCCCTAAATACATTGGTACGATTGAAATACATATTGTCAACCTGCCTTAACGGGATAATAAAAATCTACATCAAACTAGTGGGGCGCATGGCTTCGTGTCTTAAGGCAAATTGCTGGAACTTCCCGTACCAAATTTTTTTTTTAAAGATTAACATTTTTGAAAAAAATTTACTCTGAAAAAATTAGATTTTTGAGAAACTATAAATTTTTGACAAAAATTTACTTTTTTTTGAAAAAAAAGACTTTTTGGAGAAAAATTTATTTTGAAATATTTTGGAAATTCTGAACTTTTTTCAAAGCAATCGTACTGCTTTAATTGCATAGAGACGAAATATCTAATAATATAAATAACTAATAATTTGATGTGCATATGTCTAATGATCATTTTTGACTGCTTGATGGCATTTTTTTTAATTTTTTTACTAGATCTCCGAAACCGCTAGACCTGTCTTCATGAAAATTTGATCAGTTTTTCATCTTGTTAATACAAGTAAAATGTTTTTTGAATTATTCAAACCGAACGCTCCGTTTTCTTAACTGAGTTATCCTTGTTGGCACTTTTTGCCCCATATTTGTAACGGCTAGACCTGCCTTCGCCAAAAACTAATCAGCACGTCTCCTTATCAATACGAATCGAATTATTTAAATCCCTTCATCCGTGTTCCCTATATAGCATTAAAAGCTGTCGAGCAAAAACTTATCATAATAATAACCAGTTAAGAGCCTTAAGGCAAATTACTGGAATTTCCTGTACCAAGAATTAATGTTTTTAAAACTTTGGAAAAAATTCGATTTTTGAAAACTTTGAAATATTTGAATAAATTTTTTTTTTTAATTTTTTATTTTTTTATAATTTGGACATTTTAAACTTTTTTTTTCAAACAAATCGCGCTGCGTTAGCTGTAAGGAGACGAAAAGCAGACGCGCGTAAGTGCCGCCTAACGGATAAACATTGATACGGAACCCATAAAAAATTAAACAATTTATACGTATTATTTAAATCTCTAAGAAATATCTGATAATTTGATGTGCATATGTCTAATGATGATTTTTGACCGCCAAACGGCGATTTTATATTTTTTTCATTTGATTCTGAAACTGCTAGACTTGCCTTTTGAAAAAAATTATCAGTTCTTCATTTCGTTAATACAAATAAAAAGTTTTTTGAATCATTCAAATCGGACGCTTCGTTATCTCAAAAACTGAATTACCATTTTCGGCACGTTTTGCCCCATATCTTCGAAACCTGCCTTTGCCAAAAACAAATCAGAAAGTATCCCCGTCAATACGAATCGAATTTTATTTGAAATATAAAATTTGGTTGATCTGTGTTCACGAAATCGTTGTCGAATTCGAATGCGAACACACGAAGAAACCTTGAAAGAAAGATATATACAAATTTTTATTTTCGATTTTTTTGCGATTACTATACCTACCCTACAAGATGTTAAATAACTTTGCAAAAAATTGTTGAAATTTGTTATAATTATAGCTAAAAAAAACTTTTATGATTTATATATAATATAATACATCCTATAAAACTTTATTATTATTATTAGTTTCATTACTTCAATATGTTGCATAATTTTGTCATTAAACAAAATTGTAATAAATATAATACTAAATATCTAATGTCAAACAAAACAAAAGATACGTTCAAATTACATTGCTAGTTTCAATAAAATTTCCGTACGTGATATTTTCACAAGTCAAGTAAATATATTTAAAATGAAAATGATTTCATTTCTGAACAGTTTGTTTCACTTAATTGTGTACTTTTATAAAAATTTTATGCTCGCCAATTCGACAAAGCACAGAAGCGAACTTTATTTACCGATGTTCATAATTTGTTTGACACTTCTAAAATTCATTAACCACCTACATATTTGGCCCAAAAGGATCCAAAAACACTACTGGCCGCTTACGAGTATATTTGATATACTTTGTAAACAATTCCTATTGGAGGTGGCAATGGCTAAACTATGGAATGTAAGTGAATTATATACGGATTGTCGCAATCTCGAGGAATATGGAAAGCATCCAAACATGATACAAGGCTTTCTGTCATTTTCTTATGCAGACCAGTCAAATGATATTAATGTTAATGAGACATGTACCATACCCACACTTCCATTGCTATTGATTAACATGTTAGCAATTGGTAGCTTTTTTATTATTGAATACATAACAAGCAGATACCTTAACATCACTAGATATCATGTAAATAAGAGCACTCAGTGTGTACATAGTGACATTTTAAAAGATTTGAGAAATTTATAAAATTAAAACCACCTTGGTGAAAATTGATTGTGTAAAGTTTGAATAGAATCGAAATAACCATGAAAATCCATTAAAGATTGAAGATAAATAGACAAAACTGGAAAGAAGTATTATTTTGAAAAAGCCAAATCCTATAAGATAACAGCATCTACACAAGAAGTTTCAACGTTTCAATGACAGAGAATTGTCATTGAAATTCAAAAATTCGATATTTCCAATGAAGACAAAATACCAAACAGCCAAGAAAAATCTACTACGCTTCTGAAAAAATTTTAATTAATTTGTATTTGGTTTTAGATATGTATACATAATATGTTTGTTTAAAAATTATTATAATATGATATTTTTCATGAAATTGAGTTAATATTATGCAGGTTAATAACGATACATCTTTCCGTTTAAATAAAAATCAATATATTCACAAAATAAAGATTTATTATTTAGTTAATAATCTTCTTCCCTAAGGGGAAATAATATCAACTTGCAATTGATTTAATTACTAAAACTAAGTATTATTAATTATTATTAATGGTTACAATGTCATTTTGACTATTTGTTTTGTACTGAGCATGGCGATTCGTTCTATTTTATTGATAGATTTGTGTGTCCGATACCTGTATGCAATCTTATTCTGCACACTCTATTATGGAGTTGATTTACATTGTGAGTACTTGCTTTGGAATCTATCTTGGTCAAATCAATTTATTGCCATTGAACACAAAAGAAAAACGACCATAACAGCAGAATCCACCAAGATTCAATAGAAAAACGTTTAGTTCATTCGAACGAACTTAGTTATAAAAAATTTAACTATTTAACGATTTCATATATAAGCTCGAGGACAACTCACGTCCTTTTATGAGATCTTATCATTAGATTTATTTATAATTTATATTCATAAATCAATTTTAACCATTTTTGAAAAGCTTGATACTTTAATGAATTTTGTGGACTTCAAAAGTTCACAGACCGTTTATCAGGATATAATATAACGAATCAAATATATTTTTTTGAGATACTATAACTAGTTTATCAAAGCCTGCCATAAATAGGAAAACTTATGTTCGCATATTCATCAATATAATATTATAATAAACTAGTGAGGCGCATGGCATCGTGCTTTAAGGCAAATTGCTGGAACTTCCCGTATCAAAAATTATTACTTTTTTAAAAACGATTTTGAAACATTTTTGAAAAAATTTACTTCGAGAAAATTAGATTTTTGAATTTGAAATTTGACAAAAAATTACTTTTTTTTCGAAATTTTTTTTTTTTTTTTTGAGAAAAATGTTTTCTTTATTTTGACATATTTTGGAAATTCTGAACTTTTTTCCAAAGCAATCGTACTGCTTTAACTGCATAGAGACGGAATATCAAAGCTCGTAAGCGCCGCTATCTAACGGATAAACATTGGTACGGTACCCATAGGAATGTAAACAAAATTTATACTTATTGTTAAAATCTGTATAAAATATCTGATAATTTGATGTGCATGTGTCTAATGATCATTTTTGACCACCAAATGGCATTTTTTTTTTACTTTTTTTGATAGATCTCCGAAACCGCTAGGCCTGCTTTCATGAAAATTTGATCAATTCTTCATCTTGTCAATACAAGTAAAATGTTTTTTGAATTATTAAAATCGGACGCTCCGTTTTCTTAAAAGCTGAGTTACCGTTTTTGGCACTTTTTGCCCCGTATCTTCGGAACGGCTAGACCTGCCTTCGCCAAAAACTAATCAGCACGTCTCTCAATACGAATCGAATGTTTTTTGAATTATGCAAATCGGTTGATTCGTGTTCCCGAAATCGTCGACGAAAATTTGTATCCGCACACACACACACACAAACACACACACATACACATACATCCATTTTTTTAAGGCGTGCCAAAATATTCAGAAACCTTTGAAACGTAAAGATATATGAAAGTTTTCATTTTCGATTTTTTTGCGATTACTATAACTTGCCGTACGGAAAGTTAATAAATTAATTCAAAACATTAGAAAATGTACTTTAATATTCTTTATAAAACAGAAACTACTGCAACGAACCCGCAATTTCGAGTGCGTGTGCCAGCTGGAGCTCCTTGTGGAAAAGCCCATGTAGTAGTGGCTGTAGCACAACGCTATGAATGCTCAAATCTGGGATCCCAAGGTTCTAGATCATTGCAGAATATTGGCTTTGCATTGTACGAAGCTCCGCCGGCAATTACAAGACTCACTCCACAATATATTTGTGAACAGGTAATATAAATACCCATGAAAATTTTAAGTCACTTTATGTGCGCTCTATCAATAAAATATATACAAAAGTTTTCAACCTTCAATCAATCCATTTACTTGCGTCACTCATTTTTATTACTTTTATTATTTGATCTTTTTATATTTTGAAGATGTATGTTTTCCTGTTTTATTAATCTAATAAGAGAAACTTGCTCTCAGGCTCCATTAGATTATGCTCCTGCTCAACCGTTGCGTGAGGTCGCGTCATTCTTCGCACTGCCACCGGGAGACTTCGTAGTTTTGCCCCATTGTGGAGCACCACATCGCGAAGCTTCTTTTTTGTTACGAATATTTGCTGATCAACACGCTGATGTTTGGGAAGTCAATGAGGATAATTTAGTCATACACAATGTGGCAGCTGAATTTAGCGATGAACGGCTTCAAGACGCTGTAAGATAGTTGATTCCCAAAATAATTATATAATTTGCAGATTATTTTTGCATGTGTCTTCTATCTTCAATATCAATATTAATTTGCTCGATATTTTAACATACCGTATTAAAAACGGAACAATAGGGGGCCGACTGTGCCGACCAATGTTATAGTAAAGCTATATTAGGTAGCGTTTTGCATATAAAATGGTACTAAAACTATCAAAATGCAATGTACTTGCTGTGCAGTCTGGAGTTTAACATATAAAATGTAACTTCATTCATTCATTCAAAAATTATGCCACATCACATACATGCACTTATGAAAGGATTGTGAGCTGGTCGTTTGTTTGCTAAAACATCTGACTGTACAGCAACCACATAGCCTTTTGACAGTTTTTTATATGAAAAATGCTGCGTAACATATCCATCCTTGCCACAACATTGATATATTTTACGGCAGAATCGGCCCATAAGTTTTATATGGAAACTAAATTGAATCAAAATTAGTAATACCAAGCCCAAAGATCAATAGTTATTGAAATTTAAAACTCACAAGAGTACAAAATTTCAAACAATATAATTAAATGGGTGACTCCAAATTTCTAAGTAGTACAATTTTATAAATGATTTTTCATTTTAGATATCAAGCTAGTAATATCTTTATTACGAAACCTTTATATATTGAAGTAACCTTTATATCTTAATCAAAATTTTATAAATAAAAAAATTGAAATCGGTAACAGTGTTCTATGTTTATTAAATTCTGTATAATTTATTAGGTGCATCAATATATTCATCGTCGTTTATTTTGCAGCGCCTTTTAGCTCGTTTACGAATGCGGTATCCACCTGAAGTAACAGCTCTACAGTTGCGCGACATCCTGCGATCAGGCGGATGCTGCGCCAGTTTCGTTGTAGGCGGCTCTCAAGTGTGGCCCCGTGCTGCACTCGGAGTAGGTGTTGGTCCGGGGCCTTCTATAGAGCTCTGCCGCGGACTTCTCGCTCTACGCGACCCGGCACTAGCCGGACTGCTACCACTTCAGGATGTGCCGACCTTAGTAGCACTTCTTAGGTTTTGGAAGGTAACTCATAACTATGTAACTATATGTTATGTCGGCTCGCCCGTAGGCAAGCGGTTAAGAGCGGCGGGACTTGTTTCAGAGGCCCCGGGTTCGATACCCACTTCGAGCAGCCTGTTGTCAGGCAACATTGACAACGATTTTCACTTGGAAATATAGATAGCAATATGTTTCCAAGTGAGAATAGCCCTCACCCGGCATTGTTGCACCATACTGGCCCTATTACAGAGATTGTAATAAAAATTTATCATACAGAGATATGACAACTGTTTGGGTTGCCATCTGTAATAAAACAAACGTAGTTTGTAAGATATTGATCACAACAGCTCATAGAACCCATCAGTTCTGATCGCTGTTCAAATAAAAAAAAAAAATGAAATGTAACACTATGCATTTAATTACATTTTCCTAGCATGGTATTTACGAATTTATAGAGATAATGTTTATTTCTATTCATAATAACTATTTTCATAAGAGTAACGACTAACTAAATAAAACATGTAATAGATGTCGTGAAATCTACGGGCCAATTCTGCCGTGAGACAGACAAATGTTATGGCAAGGCTACGTTCAGCTGCGTTTTTTATATAAATGGTACTAAAAACTGTCAAAATGTTATGTATTTACTGTGCGATCAGACGTTTCATTCATAAAATCTTACTTCTCGCATGTATTATTATGACACACAAGACCGATGCACTTATGATAAGATTCTTTTTGATATTTTTGCGTCTTTTTCTTTCGAAAGATTCTTTTTGACCGCACAGCAACAACATAGCATTTTGACAATTTTTAGTATCATTTTATATGAAAAACGCAGCGTAACATAGCCTTCTCATAACATTGGTCTATTTTACGGTAGAATTGGCCTACAAGACTCCCCAAAATAGTATCCGTATAAGTTTATAAGCGATAGGCATCAAGAGTCGTACAGCCAGGTCTACCAAAAAATGACCATATGAAATATTTGTTTTCGTCTATAACTGGTAATATTAGACGACGTTCTGTACGTAAAAAGTACCAATGAATAAAATTAAATATTATTTCGGGTTTCTGCAATTAATATAGATTTTAAAACGGCATAGTAGGGGAGATTGGGTACAGTTGCGCCTCTTTTTTATATCAACAATAATTTTGTTAATATACCAGTTAGCTGGGAAAAAAGTAAATTAAAGGGTAATTTGAACATTTGTCTACGTAAATACTGTCCGTAAATGCGATAGATTTATCATAAAATCAAATCATACAAGAAAAGAACGAGTGTCATAACCGCCCACAAGCAATAAGGAATAGTTGTGACAGCCATTAAAATAAACTAAGACTATAGCATAAATACGAAAATGGTTCATAATGATTGTTTTTAACAGCAATAATATGTAACACAACATAACAACATTTAAACAAATTTTGTGAATAAAATATAACAATATATAATAAAACATATTTTTTAAACTTCGTTTTAAACAGATTTTTTGAAATATTTTTTTTCTTGTATTAAATTTTCCTTTTCCTTTCCTTTTTCTCGCATTTTGTCTTAGTTAAGTTAGATTTTTTTACTCATTTAATCTTTACCCGAAAAGAACAAGAAATATATGCAACACACAACCGTATCTAAGAAAATTTTCACAATCGTACCCAACGCACACTTTTGAAAAAAAATCATCATTATGACTGAGCAAATTATCTATGCTAAAACTAATTGCTGGTAAATAACTACTAATGTTCTACTTACTGCAAATTAACAAAGAAAGCGATGTATCTGTATACAATTAACTACTATTATTAAAATAAGTTGAACGAAAAAACTTACTTCTGACTATTTAGAAGCGATGTGTCTACAGATCGTTGTAATGTAGGGCGCAGACTGAATGCAATAACGGGAACTTGATCAAACAATCATACTTCATCTTTCTCCCTTTGGACCTTATGTTAAAATTAGTATAGTTTAGCTGTAATGACGACTGTCACTACCGTACACTGGCCCAACTGTACCCAGTCACCCCTATATCGCTGAATAAATATCATTACTACTCAAGGAATTTTATATTATTTTTATAAGATTTGTTCTTATATTTTGAATTCATGCAACTCGTATGATTTCAATTTACTTTTCTTTACTTCTTCTTTAGCGAGCTATAGGCGTCATATTGTTTATGCATTTTTATTCAAATAAAATAATCTATCACTTCAAATTCTAAACTTTTAAACAAACAGTTATATATAAAGCGAATAACAGTCTGAGCCAGGTAATGAAATGTGGTGTGCCCAAATTAATATTTTATTATGTTTTATATGATGATATGAACTATATATAATTATATATATATATATATATATATATATATATATATACTGAGATATACTGAGTCGAGTCTGGAGGCTCGGTATGGGCGTGTTTCTCGCTTCACAATTATGCATTTCATAACTTTTAGTCAAATTAGTTTTCAAATCTTTTAGTTATACATAATTTTTTCTAAAAAAATGTTTTTCTCTAATATGTTATTAAGTTTAATTTTTTAAAAATAAATTTTTGTTGAGTGTTTTTGTCCTGTGTTGCTGAATGATGACACGCATCTTGTGTCGAAACGTATAAATAAAAGTTTTTATACTTTATACCTTTTTTATTTCGACGAATGGGCTGCTAGTTACTTTGAAAATATATATATATATATATATATATATATATATATATATTAGGGTGGTCCTTAAAATGGTCATTTTTGAATTTCCTTGCTCCCAGGGGCTCAAATGGTTCCAAATTGATAAAAAAACAATTTTCTGAAAGTTTTAGCTCTTTGTATGGAAAGAGCATGGAAAAATTTTTGAAAATTTAAAAAAATGTTTTGGGTCGCTAAATTACATCTAAAAAACATTTTTAAAATTTTTGAAAATTTTTCAATGCTATTTTCATACAAAACTTTGATTGAATTGAGCTTTATCTAAAAGTTAATATTAAGAGCTAAAACTTTCAGAGAATTATTTTTTATCTATTTAGAACCATTTGAGCCCCTGGGAGCAAGGAAATCGAAAATGACCATAGTATATATATATATATATATATATATATATATATATATATATATACTATATTCTTACTGAGCATATTTTTTAAATACGTAGGCGGCATTTAGGCGCTACGCCTCGTCTTCATACGCGACTTCGTTTTGGAAGCAGTCGCGCGCATGCAGCTACGATCTCCGGGCGCTTCTGTGGGCGGGAGGCGCAACGGCTAGTAACAAAGTACTAGAGGCACTGTCCTGCAGGTTCTCTAGGAATAATACGATTACATTAGAAGGATACTTAATGGCCATGACTAGGTTACACTTAGCACACGGTACAGTATTTCATTTCTTACGATTATGATTTATATTCTATTATAATAATGATGAGAGTAATGGCGATAAGTATTATTGGCTCTTCAGCAGAAGTTTTTTTTTAATTGAAACATGTACATGTTACATATTTTATTGAGTTTTGAAAACTAATATTTTATAGTTTCTAAATATCAATATATTTTCATGACAGACGTTTATGGACATACATAAGAAATAAACCATTTACTCTAGCCAAAATTAAAATTATCAATGAATAATATTTTCTAACACAAAACTCTAGATTATATTTACCAATTTAATAAATTCGATATTAAGCTGCTATTATTTATTTATTTAAATAAGTAAATAAACTAGTTGGTATTGGTATTTAGCCTTGAGCCAAGTTACATGAACTTTCCGATATGTGTAAATAATCGAATTTATGAGTGGATTTATTACACATAATTGAAAACGAACGAACACGTTAACTCGGAGTATTTTCAAAAAGCAACTTTTCAAAAATCAACAATTATTATATTTGAACCAGTTTCCGTAGGATTTTAATGGCTTAGTATGTTTATTAAGACCAAGGACTATATATTTATTTTAGTTATACCAAGTAAATCGTCTAATTTTAATTTTAGCTAACGTCAAAAAAACTACTCATTTTCTCAAACTTTGATGAATTTTTAAACTTAAACTACTTGTCGTAAGACCGTAAATTTTTAGCAAGTTCTATAAGACCATGATATATATCGCTACAAAAATCCGGGCCGTAATATTTTAGTATGATCTAGACGACTATAGTATCTACCGTCAAAAAAATAATAATAAAAATCGTCAAAAAAAAAATTTTAACACTTTATTGCAAGAAAACGGCCCGGCCGATCTTTACCAAAAACTAATCAGCACGATTCCCAATCAATTTCTTTCGAACGGTTTTTGAATTCTCATAATCGGTTCAGAATTGCGGGCTAAAACGTAGACGAATTTTTTTTTACTTTTCTGTTATTTATAAAGAAACATCCCGGCCGATCGTCCCACAAAACTGACAAACGATAGTCCTCGTCGAGATACATCGAATGGCTTTTAAATTTTTGAAATTGGCCCAGCCGTTTTCGAGAAAACGTCGATTTACGGCAAAAAATTTGTTCACATACACACACACACATACTTTTTTCCAAATTTGGTCTCATTCGATTCAAAATGGCTTGAAACGTCGAGAAATCATAAAATTAGCGAATCGGATTTTTTGATGAAAACATAAACTTCTCCTTCGGGAAGTTAATAAATAATAGCAACTAAGAGTGCACTGAGAAAAATATTATATTTAATTTTAATTTTTGAAATATTTTTTTTACTAAATTTTAATTAAAAAAGCAAATAATAATTCTATTCATACAGATTTGTTATAAACATTTTGAAGTCTTTTTATTTTAGATTTGATTAGATTATAGTTGACGATTTATATTTATATTTATATTTATATTTACGGATACAGGAATAAATTTAATAATTACAGAAAATAAATCATCTTAATTGAATTAATTACAGTAAAATACAACTATTAAACAATATTAAGCCTAACATTAGTAATATCTAATACAATAACTTGAAGAAAAAAAATATAATAAGATTCAAATAGTTTAATTGTTGTAGATCTTGAGAGTCTTCTTATGGTAAAAAAAATCCTTTAAATATCCGTTATGCAATTTTTATTTGAGTCTCATATCTGGAAAATAAAAATTAAGAGCAGTATCAAAAAAGAATATATAATATGAAAATAATTGTAATGATAAAATACTTAAAGTAGAAAAATGTTAAAATATTTTAGAATAAAAATTAGAAAAAGTATTGAAAAGGGGAAAAAAATTGTAAATGTTGGGAAAAAAAGTATCAATTATCATTTCATTATCAAAATAACGTTTGATATCGAAATTGGCAAACTCAGATGTATCGTAGAAACTTTGAGCTTTTAAAAGTTTAACAATAGTATCACAAATTTGACGATCATTGCGATGACAATGATCTAACCATGATTTTCTGATTATAATATCAAGAAGGAAACTAGTTTTTGACTGTTTATATACTCTAGACATTTGTTTTACAATCTGAATTGTTATCGATACTAAAATTATCTTTTTACACTGTTTATCTAATCATAAATAAAATAATGTCTTTTTGCATTAAGATTACACAGGTCCAAAATAGTTGTCTGTATTGGGTGTGCGGCATATGTTTTCGAATGTAGTTTTTACCCTTGAACCCGAATCTAAAGTCAAAATTGGTGGTTAGAAGGCAACAAAATTGAAAAAAAATTAAAGTACGAGAAGATCTCCGTTTTAGTAATTCTTCTGCATGATACTTAACCTTATAATTTCTGTTGCAACCTTACACTGTCTGTCTTAAACGGCTATTGAATATTCACTCAAATGATCTATTAAATTTTTTTATAGCATACAGTAATAATTTGTAAACATATTTTCAAATATTCAAATGTAAGTATGTTTGTAAATTACCCAGGAGCAATCGAGAGTAAATATGTTTGTGACTACTCAATAGTCATTTAAAAGGGCCAGGAAACGACAGATCTTATAAAAATTTAAGCATCATGCAAAAGAATTACTTGATCAGATATTTTGTCGTTTTAATAATTTTTTGCCATTTGACCCCAAATTTGACTTTAGATTTATGTTCAGCAGTAAAAACTACATTAAAAAACATTGCCGCAACTAATATAAGTAATTTTCTGTGTGGACCTGTGTTATTTCTTGAAATTTAAATCATAATACTTTTTAAATTTGTTTTACTATTTATTTGTACTCTTTTGCAGAACGATATCATAGTTTAGACGCTAAAGCAAAAGCAAATCCTTTATCATTAGAAGAGGTGAGTATTTTGAAATTATATTTATGTTTGTATATAAACCTAATTGAGTTATTAATTATAAATTACAGTTTTAAAAAATAAAGTTAATCATTTTACATATATTTGAAAGTTGAGAATTTTTATCGAATTCGATTTAGTTATTTTTTAGATTTTAATTGTGAGTTCTCAGTATTGAACTTGAATTTTATATTTTATAAAGTACGCCCAAATTTTAGAATTTTGAATATTGATAAAAACTTAGAACTAAATCAGAATTTGTTTTAAAAAATAACTGTTAAGGATAATGTAATGAGTATTATAAATAATTATAAAATTAATATACATTTTGAAGAAACAGTTTTGAAACTGCGTTAATCATCTGGAAATTAATAAATAGATATATTTATAATTTTTTTAGCAGTTGTGATTAGATTGGGCGTTTCAAACATTCAAAATTTTGACCTAAATCAGGAAGTTTCGTAGAAATTTATTGATTAGTTTCTCATTAAAATGTTTGCACGATTTTGTTAAAAAATAAGTTTTCTGTATATAAAAACTCAAATTTAAAAAATACCAATACAAAAAAATATGAAATATAAGTTAGATTCTTCTTATTCAAAATACTATTGATATAAAATAGGAATCAAACATGTGGTTCATCGAACTCATGATTCATTCTATGCAGAAAAAAAATACAACTGGTGCTTTAGCATAATCATTTGTATAAATATCTAATATTTCAACTTGAATTTTTAACAGATTTTAATTTTAATTTACAGATGATACTTATGACAATATATTCCTGACAAGTGCAAATGGAAATTTATCTAGCTCGTGATTGACCTAAACTTTTAAAATTTGTCAAATTTAGACATAAGCCAAAGACAATTAAGTTTAATTAAAAGTTAAACAATAACTTATACTGAATAATATTTGATAGTCTGATTGAAACAAATTGCAATAATTATAATAAAATATATAGTTTAATATATTTATTTAATTACTTTATTTAAAACATAAATGCAATAACGAGACCAAAACTATACTAAACTATAAAAATAAAATATTAAGAGTGATATTCTGATTTTAGTTATGTGTTTTGAAATTTATTTCAATATTTTTAATATATGACAGTATTTTCAAATAATATATATGTGCGTTTCGGTTTATTTGAGAATCAGAATTGATCTAATGATATATCGATATATTGCAATAAATACCTGGTTTATACCAATAATTTAATATATTATTTATATTTATACAAGATTAATATATTATGATATTTATTAATAAATTATTAAGTTATTATAGAGACTATTAGATATATTATGTTTATTTTATAAAAAGATGTATGTTCTGTATAAAATACAACGCTTATGTAATATATAATTTGTTCTATTCATTGGCTTAATGATAACTTCAAATGTTTAAATTTATATTTTTATTTTAAAATAGAAATGCTAAGCAATTCGATATTTGTCTTTGTTTTTAATATTTTCAAATTATGGCAGAAGATTTTTCATATTTAATGTTGTTATCGTGACAAAATATATGTAAAAAAGCTGTAATTGAATATTGTAACTAGATACCGTAATTATTATGCCTATTGAATAATTCATTGCAAATTTATGGATATAAGAAGATGCTGTAATATTTTTTTTGTATTGACGTGATGAAAAAAATTGATTGTTTGGAAATATCTAGCAATTAGTATACAACTAATCTATTAGAAAAATAATATTAATAAATATATAAAACTTAATGATTAATTAAAGATCTTCATTCAATTTCAGATCAATCGGCTGTTACCAAGGAAAGTATTTAAGTTCAGACGGCTTGGATCTACTACCTCATATTATTCACGAAGAAATTAAATAATTACAGATCAATGTTTTCAAAAAGTGCAATTTAACGATATAATGAATTTTTGATATATAACGTTTCATAAATATTTAATTTTTTCCAAATATTGTTTTTTTATCCGATTTATAAATATAACGTAAATGTAGTTTAATAAATTTCTAAACCATATCAAAATTTACAGTGCACAAATTTGAACAGTTTTGGTTCGATAATTAGAATTGCATATTTAGTATTTTATTAATTACATATGCAAATCATATTTTTGGTTATATTATTATGGAAACTAATAAAAACTTTAAAAAAAGGTCGAGTTTCGGTGGTGAAGTTAAAATTGTTCGTCGGTGAATAGATAGTTAATTTTCATCTAATGCCGCAGAAACAAAATTACATTTTCAAAGTATTAAACTTATTTTTTTTTCTTGAGACTTCAAATTACTATTTTTGAGACGTATGTCTCGGTACGTTTTTTGAGATGTCTTATCGAGCTCTTCAACGGCATTAATACAAATGCAACGTTTTTAATATAATTGAAATCGATTAATTGGTTTTCCAAAAATTCGAAAAGTTATTAATTTCAACGTACTGATTTAAACTGACTGATTCAATTAATATTTTTAGTATTCGTATTATTCGCACGGATATGGCTCGTAAGGGTTTATACAAAAACCGACATTTCAGAAAACCGGTTTTCGAATTTTAATTTTACCAGAAAACTGGTTTTAGCCGGTTTTCAAATTTCATATAGAAAATAAATATTTGCTTGAATAATCTGTGATAACAAAAATTTATTCGCAAATTCAGTGCGATTTAAAGCATTATTTGACTAAATTTATTTATTGTTCAGTTTTTTGGATAGTCAACAAAATTATTTTAATTTTAATTAGTAGAACAAAAAAATAGTTCATCTGGATTAAATAACTTTGAAAATGATTATTCGTGATTATATATTTATATTTTATGTTGGTGGATATATATTTTCATAATAGTGAAAGTAAAGTTTTCGAATAAATAAAAATAATATATTTTAAAATAAAAAAATTTAATAAATTAAAAAAACTAATAATATTAGGTATATATGTTGATGCATACATACTTATTAATATCAATATTAGTTTTAAAAACAATTAAGACTTCAATCGACTTCATATGACTCAAACCGAATCATTGCGACTTCAAGCGATAACACTTCAATCGATTTCATATGACTCAAACCGAATCATTCCGACTTCAAGCGATAAAACTTCAATCGGTTTCATATGACTCAAACCGCATCATTCCGACTTCAAGCGATAAGACTTCAATCGACTTAATATGACTCAAACTCACCTGATTAATTTGGTATATCTTAGAAAAATAAATGCATGTCACGTATGTATGGAATTGCCATTTTTTTTATTTTGAAGGAATCTAACAATCTCATATTTTAAAGGTAAGTCATCCGGTTCCGAGCAAAAAAAAAAGTAAAAAAAGTGAGCGCTAAACATTAACACCGAAATTTCGCAAAAGACATTTTCTAAAATTGGAAGCAATACTCCAACTCATCGGCGCTGTTATTTTCAATCAATTGTAAACTATAAAAAGTAAATGATTTTTTTTTATTTTTATCTGATTGAAAAATGTTTATTTATTATATTTTTCAGATTTCTGCATATAGCAATGCATGTTGATTTTTTTAATTTACATAGAAACTGCAAAGAATAATTTTGAGAAAAATCTTTTGACATTTTAAAAAAAATTAAAATAAAACATAAACAATAAAATTTCAAATTTTGACATTTCTAATTAAAATTTATATATATACATATATATAAACATGCATATATAAATTATTTGTGAATTTAAATATTAAGGCCAGGTTGAGCTTTTGACAGCATCAGTCGGTAAACCAGTAACCACATTGTAGTGAGCAGGGTCTTGTTGTTAGGTTAACGTGCAGTATTTTCAGGAGTTGTGTGGTAAGTCTTATCAATTTCATTTTGGAAAATTTTTAACCAGTATTAAGAATTTTAGAAATTATCAAAAGCATTCAACTAAATCCATTTTTGGGGCTTCCGCGACAATTTACGCTGTTTTTTTTAACTTACTAATGAAAAATTTGTTTTTGACAGAAGATTCGGCTTGATAATTTTGTTTTCTCGGCGATTCAAGTAACTCTAAATTTTTTAAGGCCTAAATTGAAATAAAGTATGTTCTATAGCTAGGATTGTATATGCAATTAAAATTTTCAGTTTTTTACCATATCATATTCTTTGGACTAGTGCAAGATTTGATTTAAATGAAAATGAAACTAGTGTGCGGTTTAGCAACGATTGGTTGATGTCGGCATACTAATTCAGGACGGTGCACTGATTTAAGTAGGTACTTTATATCCATTTTATCAATTTGACAGTAAAAATCGGTAATTTTTGTTTCTCGGTTTTGCTTATGTCAATTAAATGAATGACTTGGTATCTTTTTGATAAATTGATAAAGCCCGATTTAGGGTATGGCTATGCTCATACCAAAGTTAACTTCATTTGTTAGAAAATAAATAAGAGCAATTTATGAAATCAATATTCATCATACATATTAAAAATCAGTTAAAATAAATATGTATGAAGAATATTTATTTTATAAATTGCAAAATAAAAAAATAAGTAAAATTAATTAATGTATAACAAACAGGTAATGCAACACTTACAATGCTTATTTGCTATTTTATTAACCATTTGATGAGAGAAAATAATTTGACAATATTTAATTCCGTTATCATTCTAAAATTGTAATATAGTTTATATAAATCTTATGAAAATGACCTTATAGCAAATTTTAAAAAATTTTGTATATGAAATCTAATAATATTTATAACATTTCTGGTTAACAATATTTATACGTTTGTAGAAGAATGAAGACTATCAACCCCGTTAATCAATCCGCTCTAAAGATTTCAACAGAGTCTCCTGAGTTTTCGGTTCGTTGTGTATTGTGTGGAGAAGGATTGCTGTACAGTCGACCTGATACATGGAATCTTATTTTGCATTTACGAGAGAAACACCCTAATGCAACACTAACTCAATTACCTTGTCAGGTATAATTTAACATTATACTATTTTACATATATAAATGAAGCATTTTAATAAATATAGAAAATTAGTGGTACATGGCATTGTGCCTTAAGGAAAATTGCTGGACCTTCCCGTACCAAAATTAAACATTTTTCAATAATAATTGATTAACACGTTCACGTCGAGGCCGATTTTGGTCACTGGTGGCCCACGCCGGCGTGAACATGTTGATGATTAATAACAATTGTTTTAAATATTTTTAAACAGATTAATATAAATGCTGTAACTATTTATATTTATTAGATGAAATATAACAGTTTATAAATTAGGCGACAAATAATATTGGACACTTATGCATATTTTCTTAATGTAAACATATGAATTAACGCATTATAGGACTTTATTTCTAAGAACTATATATGTAAGGGTAAATAAGTGAGCTTATATAATTTTTAATGTTTGTGTTTGGACGTTTTTTCTTTGTATCAACAAACTAGCTATATAGCTAAATAGCTAGACCTGCCTTCCCAAAATTGTAATCAAGTTTTCATTTCATCAAAATAAGTTAAGTGTTTTTTAATCATTCGAATCGGCTGATCCGTTTTCAAAATCTGACTTGCCATTTTTTGCGCTTTTTGCCCCGTATCTTCGAAACGGCTGGGCCTGCCTTTACCAAAAACTTATATACATATATACACACACATACATCTATTTTTTTCAAGGTATGTCTATATTTATATATATATATATATACTCGTATATATATATATATATATATATATATATATATATATATATATATGGAATCGTTCAAGTATTACGTAAGCAGATTTAGTATAATTATTTACCCCCCAATACCCCTTTGTCAGCAAAACTAAGCAAAGCTGTCACCAAAATGTCAGCCAAAATAAGAAATCAATAACCCCCCCACCCGCCTATAGTGCTAACGTAATACTTGAACGGCCCCTATGATATATTTTGATATAAA